TCCTGGGCTAACACGGTGGGAAACCCCGTCTTCTACTAAAAAAAATACAAAAAACTAGCCGCGACCGGGTGGCGGGCGCCTGTAGATTCCCAGCTACCGGAGGCAGGCATGAAGAATGGCCGGTGAACCCAGAGGCGCGAGCTTTGCAGTGAGCGTGAGATCCGGCCCACTGCCAACTTTAGCCTGGGCGACACAGCAGACGCAGACTCCGTCTCAAAAAAAAAAAAAGATACAGATTGGAGGTCTGCCAGGAAATGTCAACAGTACCCATGTCCTTCTGTCATCTATCAGGATCTATCAGGGCCCCAGCCCCTCTGCTGCGTATTCTAGCTCTTGAGGGAAGCTCACCTGGCTGCACGGAGGTTTATATGCTTCGGTTAGGCTTTCGGGGCGCTTTGATCACCAGGTGGTCCGGCCAGACGGCTACCTGCTGGTGGCTCGGATGCGTGGCTGGGCAGGCGTCATCTCAAATGACGACCATGCCACACACCTAAGCTTTCCTGAGTGCACGTGGTCATAACTTTTCATCAGGAACCTAAAAATCACCCAGTAAACCTGTCTCTTTTTGTTTGTTTGTTTTGGCTTTTTCTTTTTTGAGATGAGTTTCATTCTTGTTGCCTAGGCTGGGATGGAGTTGCAATGGCCAGATCCTCAGTCACTTGCAACCTCCTACCTCTTAGGTTAAATGAATGATTCTCCTGGGCCCTCAGCCTTTCCCAAGTAGCTGGGTACTACAGGGCAACCGGCCACACGCCTGGCTATTTTTAATATTTTTTTTATATTTTTAGTAGAGACAGGAGTTTTACCATATTGGCCAGGGCTTGGTCTTGAACCTCCTCAGCCTCCGTAATTCTGCCCGCCTGCGGGCCTCCAAAAAAGTGCTGGTGATTACAGGAGTGAGGCCACCAACCTGGCTTTTTTTTTTTTTTGATGGCGTTCTTCACTCTTATTGCCCAGGATTTGCCCAGGCCGGAGTGCAGTGGTGCGATCTCAGCTTGCTGCAGTCTCCGCCCCCTGAGTTCAAGTGATTCTCCTGTCTCAGCCTCCGAAGTAGCTGGGATTATAGGCGCACGCCACCATGCCCGACTAATTTTTGTATTTTTAGTAGAGACAGGATTTCACCATGTTGGCCAGGCTGGTCTATTTTCAACAAAATTAAAAATTAATTAAATTTTAAAGCCAGGCGCAGTGGCTCACGCCTGTAATCCCAGCACTTTGGGAGGCCAAAGCGGGTGGATCACTTGAAGTCAGGAGTTCGAGACCAGCCTGGCCAACATAGTGAAACCCCACGTCTACTAAAAATACAAAACTTAGCCGGGTATAGTGGCGGGTGCCTGTAATTCCAGCTACTCGGGAGACTGAGGCAGGAGAATCACTTGAACCCAGGAAGTGGAGGTTGTAATGAGCCAAAATCACAACACTGCACTCCATCCTGGGTGATAAAGGGAGACTTCATCTCAAAAAATAATAATAATAATTACATTTTTAAAAAGGAATAAAGGAGTTGGTACAATCAGACCCTTGCTAATTCTTACACTTCAAAATATTTAACACCCTCCATTGAGAGTTCTCCAAAATTGTGGTCAAAATACAGTGTATTCAGCCATCTGGTGAGCAGAGCTTTTCAGCATTGCCTTCTTACTGGGTTGTCTAGCATTGGTTTTGTATGTTGCTATGAGCTATGGTTTTCTTAGTTATACTGGAAAGACTAGGACAGATATGGACTTTGCAGCTAGAAAATTCTGTCAACCTACACAGTACAAGGTAATTAGAGCATGGTCTTAGGGAGCCAAATAGCCTAGGCACCATGGCTCATGCCTGTAATCCCAGCACTGTGGGAGGCTGACGCAGGAGAATCGCTTGAACCTGGGAGGTGGAGCTTGCAGTGAGCCAAGATCGCACCACTGCACTAAAGCCTGGGTGACAGAGGGAGACTGCATCGCAAAAAAAAAAAAAAAAAAACCCAATTTCAATCTAAGACCTGACACATATGAGCTGTGTGACCTCAGGCAGATTCTTGTCCTCTCGGTTTCCCGTTTGTAAAATGGGGATAGTAATAGTAACTACCTCACAGTGCCCTTATAAGGACTAAATAAGTTAAAATATCAAGTGCTTAGATTAGAACCTGGCATATAGAAAGTTCTGTATAAACATTTACTTACTATTTTATTCTTTTTCTATGTCATGTAGTGAACCAGAACCGCAGATTTTGGATTTTCAAACCCAGCAGTATAAACTCTTTCCACTCCTGGCCACTGCCTATGCCTTCCAGTTTGTGGGCGCATACATGAAGGAGACCTATCACCGGATTAATGAAGGCATTGGTCAAGGGGACCTGAGTGAACTGCCTGAGGTACGAGTTTGGTCTCATTCACTTGTGGGCACCCTTCTGTTTCATGGTTGCCTGTTGGACGATGTCCAGAGATAACTAGATGTTGGGATTTCCTGAAAAGAATTATGTATTCTGAGAACTTCTTCTGGTTGAAAGTAGATCAGATATGAAAAACTGTGGGGTTTGTTGTTAAGTATTTTTAGTGTTATCAGAAATATTGTACCATGTTGATTATTTGTCAATCAAGGAAATGTAAGTGGTGAATTTTTAGCCAAGTAGAGCAGCTCAGATGGGTGTGGGTAGTGTTCTCCGTTCTTCTGGCGAGTCGGACAGCTGTGCTTCTTCAGTTTGCATGTGTGGCAGCTGTGTTTTGACAGTGGCCGGGATGTTAGAGGAGGGGTGTGTTTTCTCATTGGTTCTCGGGCTCTCTCCACTACAAATGTCCTGACAGATTTGTGCTTGTCCTCTTAGCTTCATGCCCTCACTGCTGGACTTAAGGCTTTCACCTCCTGGACTGCAAACACTGGCATCGAAGCATGTCGGATGGCTTGTGGTGGGCATGGCTATTCTCATTGCAGTGGTCTTCCAAATATTTATGTCAATTTCACCCCAAGCTGTACCTTTGAGGGAGAAAACACTGTCATGATGCTCCAGACGGCTAGGTGAGAGTCAAATCCGCAGTTCCTCCCATCTGTTCATAAGAATGTTCTAGTCCTTTTCCTAGGTTCTTGTTCCCATGGTTTTTCGTCACTGTATATATATATTTGTTCCTGAAAGGTATACTTTTACCTTCCATTCTGACTGACTTTTTATTTCGTGGTGAGGCTAGAGAGTATGACGCACCTGTTAAATAGCTTGAAGTTTTATCAAGGGTAGAGTTACTGGGCTGGGCACAGTGGCTCATGACTAATCCCAGCACTTTGGGAGGCTGAGGCGGGCGGATCACGAGGTAAGGAGTTCAAGACCAGCCTGACCAACATGGTCAAACCCTGTCTCTACTAAAAAATACAAAAAAATTAGCCAGGCATGGTGGCGTATGCCTATAATCGCGGCTACTTGGGAGGCTGAGGCAGAAGAATCACTTGAACCTGGGAGGCAGAGGTTGCAGTGAGCCAAGATTGCGCCATTGCACTCCATCCTGGGCAACAAGAGTGAAAACTCCATCCAAAAAAAAAAAGGCCAGGTGTGGTGGCTCACTCCTGTAATCTCAGCACTTTGGGAGGCCAAGCCAGGTGGATCACTTGAGGTCAGGAGTTAGAGACCAGCCTGGCCAACATGGTAAAACCCTGTCTCTACTAGAAAAAAAAAATATTAAAAATTAGCCAGGCATGGTGGCAGGTGCCTGTAGTCCCAGCTACTTGGGAGGCTGAGGCAGGAGAATCATTCATTTGAACCTGAGAGGAGGAGGTTGCAGTGAGCTGAGATCTGGCTATTGCACTTCATCCAGCCTAGGCAACAAGAGCAAAACTCCATCTCAAAAAAAAGAAAAGAAAAAGTAGTTACTAAAAGCATGTTTACTGGTGATTTTTAGGTTCCTGATGAAAAGTTATGACCAGGTGCACTCAGGAAAGCTGGTGTGTGGCATGGTGTCCTATTTGAATGACCTGCCCAGTCAACGCATCCAGCCACAGCAGGTAGCAGTCTGGCCGACCATGGTGGATATCAATAGCCCCGAAAGCTTAACCGAAGCATATAAACTCCGTGCAGCCAGGTGAGCTCTCCCTCAAGAGCTAGAATACGCAGCAGAGGGGCTGGGGCCCTGATAGATGACAAGAAGGCATGAGTACTGTTGATCATTTCCTCAGACCTCCAATCTGTGTCTTAACAGATTAGTAGAAATTGCTGCAAAAAACCTTCAAAAAGAAGTGATTCACAGAAAAAGCAAGGAGGTAGCATGGAACCTAACTTCTGTTGACCTTGTTCGAGCAAGTGAGGTCAGTGGTAGTTCTCTCTTTTTCCCCTTCCCTGCCCCCCAGCGTCCTGCATTTTCTGGTGCAGAAACCCTAGTCACTGTGTATTGAATCTTTTTCTAAGGTTCTCAAACTCAGGTGTTTTCTGTTTAATCTTAGGCACATTGCCACTATGTGGTAGTTAAGCTCTTTTCAGAAAAACTCCTCAAAATTCAAGATAAAGCCATTGAAGCTGTCTTAAGGAATTTATGTCTGCTGTATTCTCTGTATGGAATCAGTCAGAACGCAGGGGATTTCCTTCAGGTCAGTATTTTCTAAGTACAAGTCTTTTTTGTTGTTAAGAAAAGTAATTGTTGGCCGGGCACGGGCAACCCTAGAGGCAGAGGTTGCAATGAGCACCACTGCACTCCAGCCTGGGCGACAGAGCAAGACTCTGTCTCAAAAAAGAAAGAAAAATAGCTGGGCGCAGTGGCTCACACCTGTAATCCCAGCACTTTGGAAGGCCAAGGCAGGTGGATCACCTGAGTTCGGGAGTTCAAGACCAGCCTGACAAACATGGAGAAACCCTGTCTCTACTAAAGATACAAAATTAGCCTGGCATGCTATTGCATGCTTGTAATCCCAGCTATTTGGGAGGCTGAGGGAGGAGAATCACTTGAACCCAGGAGGCAGAGATTGCGGTGAGCCAAGATCACGCCAATGCACTCCAGCCTGGGCAACAAGAGTGAAACTCAGTCTCAAAAAGAAAATTTGCTGTCTGCTTTATAGCTGTATATGCATATAATTATGTCTATCTGTATACACATATATGTTTTATTTACTTATTTTGGTCTCTTTTAGGGGAACATCATGACAGAGTCTCAGATTATGCAAGTAAACCCGCGTGTAAAGGAGTTACTCACTCTTATTCGCTCAGATGCTGTTGCTTTGGTTGATGCATTTGATTTTCAGGATGTGACACTTGGCTCTGTGCTTGGCCGCTATGATGGAAATGTGTATGAAAACTTGTTTGAGTGGGCTAAGAACTCCCCACTGAACAAAACAGAGGTAAAAATCCAGTGTCTTTGCACCTTTTTAAAAGTCTTCACTTAAATATTGAAGCAGGAAAGACTTTGCAAAGGGATTTATCTGTGAAAGCTCTGAAAGTACTGTGGCCACTTAGGACAGTCACTTTATTTGAGCAACAGGTTCAGAAGGGAACTGGGTTGATCCCACAGTAACCAGGGTCTTAATCAATTTCAATTTTTGATAATGAATTGAACATTTAAAAATATATATAAGCTGGGCGCATTGGCTCACACCTGTAATCCCAGCACTTTGGGAAGCCGAGTGGGCGGATCACCTGAGGTCAGCAGTTCGAGACTAGCCTGGCTAAAATGATGAAACTCCGTCTCTACTAAAAATACAAAAAATCAGCCAGGCGGTAGTGGTGCACGCCTATAGTCCCAGCTACTTGGGAATTCTCCTGCCTCAGCTTGAACCCAGGACAACCCAGGAGGCGGAGGTTGCAGTGAGCCATGTTTGTGCCATTGCACTCCAGCCTGGGCGACAAGAGCAAAACTGTCACACACGCAAAAAAGTATATATACGCACATACACACACAAATAGAATAAAATATACAAAAAGAGAATTCCATAGTGCTCTTTGGTACACCCTTTGTCTAGCAGCAATGACTGTCAACTCGTGGCCAGTTGTGTTTCATCTGGACCTTCATCCCCGTCCTCCTGGGGACTATTTTGAAATAAATCTAAGACATCAGGGCCAGACTCAATGACACACACCTGTAATTCCAGCACTCTGGGAGGCCAAGGTGGGCAGATCACCTGAGGTTGGGAGTTTGAGACCAGCCTGACCAACATGGAGAAACCCTGTTTCTACTAAAAATACAAAATTAGCCGGGCATGGTGGCGCATGCCTGTAATCCCAGCTACTGGGGAGGCTGAGGCAGGAGAATTGCTTGAACCTGGGAGGCAGAGGTTGTGGTGAGCCGAGACCATGCCATTGCACTCCAGCCTGGGCAACAAGAGCGAGGCTCCATTTCAAAAAAAAAAAAAAAAAGGCCGGGCGTGGTGGCCCACACCTGTAATCCCAGCACTTTGGGAGGCTGAGGCGGGCAGATCACAAGGTCAGGAGATCGAGACCATCCTGGCTAACATGGTGAAACCCCGTCTCTACTAAAAATACAAAAAACTAGCCGGGCGTGGTGGCGGGCGCCTGTAGTCCCAGCTACTCGGAGGCTGAGGCAGGAGAATGGCATGAACCCAGGAGGCAGAGCTTGCAGTGAGCCGAGATCGCGCCACTGCACTCCAGCCTGGGAGACAGAGTAAGACTCCGTCTCAAAATAAATAAATAAATAAAAAAACTAAGACATCAGATAATTTTATCCATAAATAATTCAATGCATATCTCTGAAAGATAAGGACTCTGTAGTAATAACCACAGGCTGGCCACAGTGGTTCACGCCTGTAATCTTAGCACTTTGGGAGGCTGAGGTGGGTGGATGACTTGGGTTGAGGAGTTCTAGACCAACCTGGCCAACGTGGTAAACCCCCATCTCTACAAAAATTGGAAATAGCAGCCAGGTGTCATGGCACACACCTGTAGTTCTAGCAACTCAGGAGGCTGAGATGGGAAGATCACTGGAGCCTGGGAGGCAGAGGCTGTAGTGAGCCAAGATTGTGCCACTGCACTCCAGCCTGGGCAACAGAGTAGCACTCAGTCTCCAAAAAAAAAAAAAAAAAAAAGTATACTATTTAACATTACAAACTCTTTATTAGTAGTTCTTCTCTCTCCCTTTCCCACAGGTCCACGAATCTTACAAGCACCTGAAATCACTGCAGTCTAAGCTCTGAAGTGTCACAAGGACAAGTTTAATCTGCTCCAGAAAGCACCTGTGTACAACTCGAATCTGTGTGGAATCTTTTTCGAATTCAAATAGCTATAGAGCAAATGATAAATTGACCCCTTTTTATAAATGGAGGGAAAAAAATGAACAGATTTCAGAGATTAAATGAAAAAAAAAGCAGATGTTTTAAGTGCAATTAACACTGAAAGAGACCTGTTAAACCATTCAGAAAAAGCTTAAGAAATGCAATATGACTTCCTTTTGTAATGCTGCTGATCCCAGTAGACTATGACTTTTGATAATTAGCAGAATTTAACTACTAAGTAGTTGATTATTTTCACATTTTAATTGCTAATCACTGGCTATATAAGTGTTTTTAAGCAAAGGTATTTTTGAAGTGGTGTAGAACCCTTCCAAGCTTTCCTGCTCGGTGTTCTACCAGACTTACCCTGGGACCTGGCTCAAAAGCAGGATTGAAGAAAAGGGACTGGGGGAAGGAAACTTACTGGAAAACTTGATGCAAATGAGTTTCTGCTTGGCACAGTCTCTGCCTGCTTGCTCTCCTTTGCTGATAGATTGTGTTTATCAAACTATTCATGCTAGCATTTTTCCAACAAGAGAACTTACTTCGCATGGGCCTGCTGTAGGACCATTGTCTCGTGTAATTAGGAATTTTCCATTTGAAGGATCGCTAAATTGTCACAGTAGTAGGAACTGTAGGGAGAGCTCTCAGCTGTAACTTTGGTGACCATATTAACTGGATTTTCTAGGACAATCAGATTTCAAATATTCTGTCATCTTGGCATAAGCCATTAAAAGCTTGGAGGTTACCATATTTGGCATTTAAAAAATGTCGCTTAGGTCACCTTACTCCCAGATGTAGCACAGAAAAACCCTTTGACACAAACCATGTGTTCTGATTTTTGGTTCAGAAAATATAATCATTGAAACAGTGAGGTGTTTTGTTTTGTTTTGTTTTTAAACAACTGGGAAAAAACAAAAACAAAAAACTATGGTTAGAAAAATGGAAGTTCCGTAGGTTCTATTTCTTACTATATGTCTGGCTTTGTTTTCAGTATATTTCTAGGAGCTTTATCTGAATTGCTAATTGTCCTTTCAGCTGAAATCTAATTTACACAATCATTCTATATTTAAAGATTAAATACATCTCAATTAATTTTTTCTTAAAGTCAATGTAAGTCACTTTGTTGTTGTTGTTGTTGTTGTTTTTTGCTTCTTAAAATGCACCATATGCCTCATGAAACCAGCTGTTCTAGAATCAGTCCTGAAAATATGGTTTAATTCCATGGAAACATAATTCCTCTCTTGGGACCTGACATAATATCTATCTATCCTGGGGAACTGGTAATATGAGACTTTTAGGTTACAGCAGAAATGCTACATATTGACAAAAGCCTAAATCTTTCCACTGGGAGAACTAATTGATAATTGTGTTAAGATTGAAGATTAACCCTGAGTTAATCTCACTTGAGTCTATCTTGACAGTAGTTCAGATTCTGGAAAATGATAAACTGACCTGCTAGATGTAGAATTGTTTCAAAATTAGTGTTGAAATACCTTGTTCACAGATGAATATCTGGGCAGGATCTGAGGGTGTTTGGAATGACACCCCCCTAATCCATTTGCATAGATGGGATGTCTTTGCAGGTTTGAGGAGATCATCGACCTGCAGAGCCCCCTTTGACCCAGTACTTCAAGTTTTATTTAAAATCTAAATCTGGGGCCAGGTGCGATGGCTCACACCTGTAATCCAAGCACTTTGGGAGGCCGAGACTGGTGGATCACCTGAGGTCAGGAGTTTGAGATCATCCTGGCCAACATGGTGAAATCCCATCTCTACTAAAAAAAAAAATACAAAAATTAGCTGGGCATGGTGGTGGCGCGTGCCTGTAGTCCCAGCTACTCAGGAGGCTGAGGCAGGAGAATCACTTGAACCGGGAGCGGGGTGGTGGAGGTTGCAGTAAGCCAAGATGACGCCACTGCACTCCAGCCTGGGTGGCTGAGCGAGACTCCGTCTCAAAAAATAATAAAATAAAATCTAAATCTGATGTTTGATGCTATTTTTATTAATATTGAAATATTCTGTCTTGAACTTTATTCAGTATAATCAAGAGTAAAGATACAGTAAACCTCGCTGATTTGTACTATTGAGAGAAAAAATATGCCACACAATTAAACTTAGGTTTAAATTATGAAGAAATTTAGAATATAGGTTTATTAGATTTAGGGAACACTAAGAATAAAAAAGGAAGGAGTGGGCCGGGCGCGGTGGCTCAAGCCTGTAATCCCAGCACTTTGGGAGGCCGAGGCGGGCGGATCACGAGGTCAGGAGATCGAGACTATCCTGGCTAACACGGTGAAACCCCGTCTCTACAAAAAAATACAAAAAAAAAACTAGCCGGGCGAGGTGGCGGGCGCCTGTAATCCCAGCTGCTCGGGAGGCTGAGGCAGGAGAATGGCGTGAACCCGGGAGGCGGAGCTTGCAGTGAGCTGAGATCCGGCCACTGCACTCCAGCCTGGGCGACAGAGCGAGACTTCGTCTCAAAAAAAAAAAAAAAAAGGAAGGAGTGATACCTGCCTGAGTGGATAACTATAAATCAGCTGTAATTACTGCAGTTGTAGCAATAGTTGTGAGTGGCTCCAGTCACCTTAGGAGTCCTTGGAAGTACTTGGTACACATTTGTTGGCTGTACCTTAAAGGAAGTGGCAAGTCCAGTTTGTTCTCTCTACCACACTAGACTGCCACTGACAAGTTTGGGTCTGTTGGATTCAAAATTTTGTGAGCCATTTTCACAAGTACAAAGATACCTTTTAACCTTGTCTTCTCCAAAATTACTGAGTAAGAATTTTATTTTTTATTTTTATCTTTTTGAGACAGGGTATCACTCTGTCACCCAGACTGGAGTACAATGGTGGGATCTTGGCTCACTGTGACCTCTGCCTCCCGGGTTCAAATGGTCCTCCCTCCTCAGTCTCCTGAGTAGCTGGGACCACAGGCACGTGCCCCCACGCCCGGCTAATTTGTTCTATTTTTTTGTAGAGACAGGGTTTTGCCATGTTGCCCAGGCTGGTCTCAGACTCCTGGGCTCAAGTGATCATCTTGCCTCAGACTCCCAAAGTGTGAGATTACAGGTGTGAGCCACAGCACCTGGCCCAGAGTGAGTAGAATTAATGAGATTTTTTTGTGTGTGTCAGATAATACTAATTTAAGCCTTTTTTAAAAAAGTACTCTCAACCAAATACAAAATTGAAAATGTGAGGTTTAATAGAAATGTGTTGGCTATTTGTAATGGATTCTTCTTGCCCAAGTGTTTGGAGTTCTACTTTATGCTCTGTATTTAAAAATTAGTGACCTCAAAGCAGAGTTGGTGACATAGCCTTTGGGGCCCTCATGTTCTTGTCTTTAGAACATATCACTACTAAGTATCAGCTTATCTTCAGAACATTACAACATTCACTATGTTCATATGCTTTCTGAGAAGTCACCACTTGTAATTTCAGATCATATATACCTCTGTAATGGCGACTTCATTTTATAGTTCCTAAAGTTAACATGTTAGATCTTTTTTTTCCACCCCACAAGGGTCTCACTCTCACCCAGGCTGGAATGCAGTGGTGTGATTGTAGCACACTTGTGACCCACAACCTCTTGGACTCAAGTGGATCCTCATGTTGGACTCCTTGTCTGAGAAGCTGGGATTACTGGTGTCACACCACACCACGTTGGCTAATTTTTTTTGGAGTAGGGTATGGATATGGTTGCCTTGGCCGGGTCTATGTAGCTCAGGTTCATCACCGTTCAGGTCGGGGGGGTTGTACGGAGTGAGCTTGCATGGTGCTGGCGAGGTGATTCACCTTTTTTGTTTTTTTTGGAGACGGAGCTTGCTTGTTGCCGGCAGGTGACAAATGGTGCAAATCTCCGGCTTACTGCAGTCTCAACCCTCTGGGTTCAAGCGATTCTCCCACCTCAGCCTCCTGAGTAGCTGGGATTACAGGCACCCACCATCACGCTTGGCTAATTTTTGTATTTTGAGCAGAGATGGGGTTTCACTATGTTGGCCAGGTGATCTGCACACACCCCCCGCCACCTCCCAAAGTGCTGAGATTACAGGCATAAGCCACCGCGCCACCTCGCCCAGCCAACATGTTACATCTTAATTCTTGGATTTTCTTCACTGCAGGGCTTTGGGTGGAGAAATAAAACTCTTCAAATGCATAATCTTGGAGATCCTGTGAATCAATAATTCTTTAGACAACTGCGGCTCAAAATCCCTCCTCTATTTTCCGAGTTACTCCATCCATCTTATTAGGAAGTGAATTAGGTGTAGGTGGTCTGTAACACCTACACATCTTTGTATACATGTAGAGGGTATGCCTGGGATACACAGGTTGTCTTCAAGCAGTAGCTGCTACTACAGCTAGAGAGAAGAGGAGTGCCAAGAAATTGATGACCTGAGACCAAGAGTCTTGTTGATGTTCTGACTTAGATAAAGGTTTTGATCATTTTCATGAAACAATGCAGGAAAGTCATTTCTGCTGTTTATTTACTATGTTATTGGAGGATTAGAACAAGTCACACTGTAATGGACTAAAATGACTTATTTTAAAATACTGGTGGTGTTTTTTTTGGGTTTTTCTTGTTTTGTTTTTTTGTTTTTGAGACGCTGTCTTGCTCTTTCACCCAGGCCAGAGTGCAGTGGCGCAATCTTGGCTCACTGCAACCTCCGCCTCCTAGGTTCAAGCAGTTCTCCGCCTCAGCCTTCTGAGTAGCTGTGATTACAGGCGCCTGCTGCCATGCCCGTCTGATTTTTTTGTATTTTTAGCAGAGACGGGGTTTCACCAAGTTGGCCAGGCTTGTCTTGAACTCCTGACCTCGTGATCCACCCATCTCAGCCTCCCAAAGTGCTGGAATTACAGGCGTGAGCCACTGCGCCCAGCCAGTGTTTTGCTTTTAACTGTGCACACTTACTAAATTTTCCAGTACTTGATTCCTATGGTCCATGATAGTAAACACAGAAACATGTAAGGAACATTGTTAGAGTTACCAGATGTTCGCTGTTGCATATGTGCACGTTCCTAGATTCAAGGGTGTTTCTGCCTTAAGTTTAAGTGGGTCATTGGTTGTCTTGGGAAGATCATGGAAAACTGGGGATTTTTTAGACCAAAATATGTTTTGAGTGTTTCTTAGATTAGTAAATGTGTGATCTTCCACCTTCCACATTCAGACTGCGGACTACACTTCATAAATGCCTTTTTATTTCCAACTGTTATGGATTCAACTAAATGACTGTATGCCTTGGGAGCACATAATTACTTTGCTACCTTTTTCCGCCTTTGCTGTTGTGGCTTGAGTTTGGTTCATACCTGATAAGATGTATTTAGCATATGCTGTTACCCAGCCCTGGCTTGATGGTGTCCTGTGGGGGGCAGAGGTGGGAGGACGAGGGGCACGGGGCCAGAGCATGTGAATGAATCATGGTTGGACAGCTGTGACCTGCCAGCACTGCGGGTAAGCCAAACTACAAACCGTTCTTTCCTCTGTGAAATTGAATAAACCTTAATAAAATTCATAATTAGCACATACTAGAAAAAATGACGTATCTTTTTGTGGGGTGACAGTATTGGGTTTCATTCTGGCTATACAGCTTTGATTGGATCATTAAACAGGAAGGTCAGTCACTTCCCTCAAGCTTTGGGGTGTGGAATAAACACGGGTGCATTCGTGGATTCACCCGTCAACCTCCCAATATCAACACATTTCTCATGCCTCCGCGCCGGCCACGTGTCAGCCCTCAGAAGTGGGCAGGAGGAACTTTTAAGCGTCTCGGCAGTTCCCAAGAAGGCCTTTGAGCCTGGCGCCCTCTTCCTGGAGAGGCGTTGGGGCAGCTCCTAGCAACGTGCCCACCGCCGGCAGAGGCCCGGCCCCGCCAACGGCCGCGCGCTGCTCCCTGGGAGCTGTAGTTCCTCACGTCGTCCCTGTCTCCTCTGTGCGGGCAGGTGAGCAAACTGCCGACTACGACTCCCAGGATGCCTCGCGCCCGCCTTTCCGCGGAAGGCCGGACGGCTGAGGGTGGCAGCACCGGCTGGAAGCGGGAGGCCTGGCCGGGCTGAGCGACCTGAATGGAGCCGGGGCCGGTGCTGGTCCCAGCGGCCGCACCTCCGGGGACACGGCGCGTAACGGGAAGCTTCAGGGGCTGGGAGCATTACAGGCTGCTCTCGGGGGCCATATAGGCCGGGCGCTCAGAAGGGTGACGCATTGAGGGGCGCGGAGCCTCGGGACGGAGGGGCTACTCCGGTTAGGGGTCTTGTTTAGGGGTGGTCTCGGGATCTGTAAAACGCCTGGCATGGAGTCGGCTGAATAGATGTAGGGACGGGGTTACACTGTAGCCCTTTGGCCTTGGCAAACCACGCCTAGAAAATCCCCATAGTTTGAAGCCTGTACAGGATCGATAGGAGATGCCAGAAGTTCCATGATGTGTTATGGGACACATTTGGACTTGTAGGTCGTGATGTCGCCATTGCAGAGAAAAAGAAACACAAAGCCGGGCACGGTGGCTCATGCCTGTAATCCCAACACTTCGGGAGGCCAAGGCGGGAGGATCACTCGAGGCCAGGCGTTTGGGACGACCCTGGGCAACGTAGGGAGGCCCGTCTCCACAAAAAAGTTTTAAAATTTGCCGGACATGGTGGCGTGTGCCTGTGGTCCCAGCTGCTAGGGAGGCTGAGATTGGAGGATCGCCTGAGCCCAAGGAGGTCGAGGCTGCAGTGATCTGTGAGAGCTGTGATCGCGCCACTGCACTCCAGCCTGGGCAACAGTGAGACTGTGTCTGGAAAAAAGAAAGAAAGAAAGAAGGCCAGGCGCAGTGGCTCACACCTGTAATCCCAGCACTTTGGGAGGCCAAGGCAGGCAGATCACGAGGTCAGGAGTTCAAGACCATCCTGGCCAACAGTGAAACCCCGTCTCTACTAAAAATACAAAAATTAACTGGGCATGGTGGTGCACGCCTGTATTCTCAGCTACTCGGGAGGCTGAGGCAGGAGATTCGCTTGAACCCGGGAGGCTGAGGTTGCGGTGAGCCAAGTTGGCACCACTGCACTCCAGCCTAGGCAACAGAAGCAAGACTCCATCTAAAAAAAAAAAAGAAAACACATGTATTCAATTATTCAAGGTGGACTCTGTAGGTAAGCCCAGATAACCCTTGCATTCCAATACAGGACAGGCCAACACCTGGGACAGAGAGAGGACCCCTCTGACTCCTTTCTTCCAGGACATCCTGTAGGTGGGTTTTGGTAAAGTGGAGGAGGGGGAGGGAGAGAGCTAATTCCGAAGAAAACTCTTCTCAATGGGTCAGATTTACTGCCTATGTAAAGGGAAATATTTCCACCGTCCGTGAAAATCGTGTTGCTGGATGTGGTGGCTCATACCTGTAATCCCAGCACTTTGGAAGACCAACGCAGGAGGATTGCTTGAGCCCCAGAGTTCAATAGCAACCTGGGTAACACAGTGAGACCCCGTCTCTAAAAAAAGATTTTACAAAGAAAAAGAATATCAAAGAGTAACCAGAGCTCACACCTGCTTTTGTGCTAAATGCTGCCTAGAAAGTAGTCATGAGTGCTGCCTGGGAAAGGGTTTCAGCCTTGGTGCCAGGTACCCACCTCCTTTCTGAAATGAGTACTTGCCACTTGCTGCATCAGCTTTCAGGGTAAGGGATCATGGCCACTGCCCTTTTTTCAAGTAATCTCAAAGCTTTAGAAAGCCCGTTAAGTTCTCCAGAGCACTTTTTTTTTTTTTTTTTGAGACAGAGTCTCATGTGTTCCCCAGGCTGGAGTGCAGTGGGGCGATCTTGGCTCACTGCAACCTTCTCCTCCTGGGTTCAAGCGAGTCTCCTGCCTCAGCCTCCTGAGTAGCTGAGATTACAGGCATGTGCCACCACGCCCAGCTAGTTTTTGTATTTTTAGTAGAGACAACATTTCACCATGTTGGTCAGGCTGGTCTTGAACTCCTGACCTCAAGTGATCTGCCCACCTCAGCTTCCCAAAGCGCTGGGATAACAGGTGTGAGCCACTGCGCCCAGCCTGAGAGTACTTTGCTCCTCTTCTGAAGTGCATCCCCTATAAGGAATTTTTAATTTATGGAAATGGATTTTACCTCTTGAATGGGCAAAGTGAGAGAAGCTTTGATAAACCTTGGATTCATGCTCTGTTAAACCATCTTTTTTTTTTTTTTTTTTTGAGATGGAGTCTTGCTCTGTTGCCTAGGCTAGAATGCATAGCATGATCTCAGCTCACTGCAACTTCCGTCTAGCGGGTTCAAGTGATTCTCCTGCCTCAGCCTGCCAAGTAGCTGGGTGCCCACCACCACACCCAGCTAATTTTTTGTATTTTTTGGTAGAGATGGGGTTTTACCATGTTGGCCAAGCTGGTCACAAACTCCTGACCTCAGGTGATCCACCTGCCTCAGCCTCCCAAAGAGTTCTGGGATTACAGGTGTAAGCCACTGCGCCCTGTCTCTCTCTCTTTTTTTTTTTTTTTTTTTTGAGACAGAGTCTCACTCTGTCTCCTAGGTTGGCACAGTCTCAGCTCACTGCAGCCTCCACATCCCAAGTTCAAACGAGTCTAGTGCCTCAGCCTCCTGAGTAGCTGGCATTACAGATGTGCACTACCACACCCAGCTAATTTTTGTGTTTTTAGTAGAGACAGGGTTTCACCATGTTGGCCAGGCTGGTCTTGAACTCCTGACCTCAGGTGATCTACCCGCCTCGGCCTCTAAAAGCGTTGGGATTACAGGTGTGAGCCACGGCGCCTAGCCAAAGCTACATCATTTTTAAGCAACCACTTTAATTTTCTTCATTAGGGAGTATGAGCCTGATGTGGGCAGAATCCAGATGAGCTGGCCAGTGCTGTGAAGGAGCTGCGAGCGCCCCCGAGAGCCGTGAGATGGTAGGCAGAGTTCAGAGTAAGATGCATGGAAAGCAAACATGCCTCCCATCCTGCACCCCCAAAGATCTTGACTGCATGCAACACTCTGGGGGCTGGGCAGCAAGGACCAGGATGGAGACCCTGGAGAAGAGTGACAGGAGGTGGCATTGATACCAAACTTTCGACGACCAAGGTTTCTTCTGAGCCTCTGAGTGTCCGGCTGGAAGCGTTTTTAAGTGTCTGTCACTGGTATTGAATCAGGGGCACGGAATAGAAAACATTTCCGGTGACAGACATCTCGACTGGGAGGGTTTGCATGTCGTGTCTGGGATAGGAATGACTTCTGCCCACCCATTGGTACCCATCACTGGTTAGTGGGGCTGTGTCCACGCTCCGATGAGTCAGTTCTCAGAAAATACAGGAACGCATAAAGGACTTAACATCTCTAAATGCCATTGGTGCTCCTGCCTCTGGTGACTTGGCAAAAGGCAATGCAATTCATTCTGCATTGCCAGTTTCCACTTGTGTTCACTGTTTGGTATTCTTGATGTGATTTGTTTTTCCCATTTTAGGCGCCAAAAACCAAGAAGGGATGGAAAGGTGAGTGGAGAGATGGAACATTACCCTTAAGCCAAATATATATATATCTTTTTCCCCTTTGGTCCTGGAACAATGAAATGTGTGTTTATTTAAATGTTTTTGGGCCAGGCGTGGTGGCTCATGCCTGTAATCCCAGCACTTTGGGAGGCTGAGGCGGGTGGATCATGAGGTCAGTCGATCGAGACCATCCTGGCTAACACGGTGAAACCCCGTCTCTACTAAAAATACAAAAAATTAGCTGGGCATGGTGGCAGGCACCTGTAGTCCCAGCTGCTTGGGAGGCTGAGACAGGAGAATGGTGTGAACCCGGGAGGCGGAGCTTGCAGTGAGCCAAGATCGCACCACTGCACTCCAGCCTGGGCAGCAGAGCGAGACTCCGTCTCAGACAAAAAAAAAAGTGTTTTTGATGAGAGTCTTACTATTCTTCCCATTTTTCCATAGGCAGCCTTGGTCTTCCTTATGCTGCCTCACTGGTCCTCAGAGAAGTTCAGATATAAATAAGATATGGGGTTGTGGAAAAAATCCTTCTCCTCCGCCTCTGTATCCAGAAATATGTGGTTGGGATTCAGGGTGGGAAAACTGGGGAGGGAAACGAATTTGGTATTCATATTTAGGTTCCCCCACATGCCTCCATCAGAAAGTGGCCATTGATGAGGACGTCCAGACCAGTTCTGGGGGATCTTAGATGGAAGGGTACAAGGAACCTACTTGTCTGAAAGTAGCTACCATGTGCCTAGAAATCTTGAGTACTCTTCCCAAAGAGCCGCACTGGGCTGTGTTCAAGATCGGGAAGACTGATCTTTGGCCAGTGTGTCATGGTAGACAGGTAGAATATAGGTTCTCCTGAAAATCTGCACCATCATTCTTTGAGATAGTTTTTTCTTTTTTTTTTTAATTAGACAGAGTCTCGTTCTGTTGCCCGGGCTAGAGTGCAATGGCACGATCTCAGATCACTGCAACCTCTGCCTCCCAGGTTCAAGCGATTCTCCTGCCTCAGCCTCCCCAGTAACTGGGATTACAGGCATGCACCACCATGCCTGGCTAATTTTGTATGTTTGTTTGTTTGTTTTTGAGATGGCATCTTGCTCTGTCACCCAGGCTGGAATGCAGTGACGCGATCTCGGTTCACTGCAACCTCTGCCTCCCAGGTTCAAGCAATTCTCTTGCCTTAGCCTCCCTAGTAGCTGGGATTACAGACATGTACCACCATGCTCAGCTAATTTTTTGTGGAGTTTTTTTTTTTTTTTTATTTTCCTGAAGGTGGCTTCTTGCTCTGTTGCCAGGGGCTGGGAGCAGCGTGGGTGCGGATCCAGCTCACTACAACCTCGGCAACCAGGTTCAAGTGGGCATGTCTCCTGCCTCAAAGCCTCCAAGTACCTGGGACGTACAGGTGCCCGCCACCACGCCTGGCTGAATTTTGTGTAGTTTGGTAGGAGAGGACAGGGATTTCACTGCGTCGTGAGCCAGGAGGGGTCTGATCTCCTGACTGCAGTGATCCAACCTGCCTTCAGCCTCCCAAAGTGCTGGGATTACAGCGTGTTGCCCCTGCGGCGCAGGCATTTTTTTGTCATTTTTAGTAGAGACGGAGTGTTGGCCATTGTTGGTCAGGTGGTTCTCGAAGGACTCTAACTTTCAGGGAGAGTCCACCTGCTCAGCCTCCCCAAAGTGCGTGATGGGCATTGCAGGTGTGAGCCACTGTAGCCCGGCTCTGAGAATAGTTATGTCTTTAAATTTCTGCTCGCGGGTATTTCAGGGCAAGGGCTTTGTGACTTGTTGACAGAGGATGCATAAGGAAGGATCTTCGGTGGCCAGTGATGAAGGAGAGGCTAAGCCTGTTAAGTCGTCAACATCTGAAAGCTCTGACGCCTTCTGGCGCGATTCGTCAGCCTCTTGAGGTTTTATTAAGGGTTCACGTTTTCTTTGCCTCCTGAATCTATGCGAGGTCCTGTTATCCTGTTCCAGGCGTCCATGATGATTACTTCGGTGACACTGTCTAGGGGATGATAGTAAGTGCGCCTTGCCAGGAATCCCCTAATTTGGGCTGCTGCTGTTGCTTTTTTTTCCTTACTCTGTTGCCCAGGCTGGGTCCCACACTTTTGGACGTCAAATGGAAGCCTCCCCGCTCCTGAACCAAAGTGCTAGGATTACAGGCATGAGCCACTACACCCGCCTTTTTAAAAAATTGAGAGATAGCCGGGCGGCAGTGGCTCAAGCCTGTAATCCCCAGCCTTTGGCGAGGCCGAGACGGGCGGATCCATAGGTCAGGAGATCGAGACCATCTGGCTAACACGGTGAAACCCGTCAGCTCAATACACAAAAGCACAGAGAACCGTAGGTCGCGTCGAGTGGCGGGTGTGCCTGTAGGTCCGAGTCTCGGGGCAGGGAGAAATGGCATAAACCTGGGAGGCGGAGCTTGCAGTGAAGGCTGAGGATCCAGCCACTGCACTCAGCGTCTGGGTGCTGGACCACAGCGCCACGACTCCGTCTCACAGAAAAAAAAAAAAAAAATTGAGATATACACGTCTGTAATCCCAGCACTCTGGGAGGCCGAGGAGGGCCAATCACGAGGTCAGGAGTTCAAGACCAGCCCGAACAACATGGTGAAACCCTGTCTCTACTAAAAATACAAAAAAATTAGTTGGGCATAGTGGAGGGCGCTTGTAATCCCAGCTACTCGGGAGGCTGAGTCAGGAGAATCACTTGAACCCAGGAGGCGGAAGTTGCAGTGAGCCAAGATTGCACCACTGCACTCCAGCCCGTGCGACAGAGCGAGACTCTGTCTCAAAAAAAAAAAAAATTGAGATGTAATTTATATGGCATAAAGTCCACGCTGTAAAGTATACAACTCAGTGGTTTTAGAATATTCACAAAGTTGTAAAACCATCACCACTACCTAATTCCAGAACATTCTCTATCACCCCGTAAAGAAGCCCTATGCCCATTAGTAGTCAATTTCATTCTTTCCTCCCTCCAACCTTAGGCAACCACTTATTTACTCTCTGTCTCTATGGATTTGCCTATTGTGGACACTTGAATGGAATCACACAGCATCTTACTTTTTTTTTTTTTTTTGAGACAGTTTCGCTCTTGTTGCCCAGGCTGGAGTGCAATGGCACGATCTCGGCTCCCCGCAACCTCCACCTCTCAGGTTCAAGCAATTCTGCCTCAGCCTCCTGAGTAGCTGGGATTACAGGCGGTCACCATCATGCCCGGCTAATTTTGTATTTTTAGTAGAAATGGGAGTTTCTCCATGTTGGTCAGGCTGGTCTCGAACTCCCAACCTCAGGTGATCCGCCAGTCTCAGCCTCCCAAAGTGCTGGGATTACAGGTGTTGAGCCACCACGCCCGGCCAGCATCTTACCTTTACATCTAGCTTTTTTTTTTTTTTTTTGTAACAGAGTCTCACTGTGTCACCCTGGCTGGAGTGCAGTGGCGTGATCTCGGCTCTGCCTCTGCCTCCTGAGTTCAAGCGATTCTCGTGCCTCAGCTTCCCGAGTAGCTGGGACTACAGGCACACACAACCACAACCAGCTAATTTTTGTATTTTTAGTAGAGATGGGTTTTCACCATGTTGGCCAGGCTGATCTCGAACTCCTGGCCTCAGTCACCTGCCTCAGCCTCCCAAAGTGTTGGGATTACAAGTATGAGCCACCGTGCCCAGCACACATAGCTTCTCTGATGTAGCATAATATTTTCCGAGTTTTATCCAAGTTTTATCCACACTGTAGCATGAATCAGTACTTTATAACTTTTTTATGGCTAGATGATGTTCCATTGTGTGGATAAATCACATTTTGTTTATCCCTTCATCAGTTGACGGATATCTGAGATATTTCCGCATTTTGGCTGTTATGAATAATGCAATTATGAATGTTTGTGTACTAGTTTTTGGGCGGACATGTGTCTTCAGTTCATTTGGAATTCCTGGACCATATGGCAACTGTATGTTTAACTTTTTGAGGAGACTGCTTTTCCACAGCAGCTGTGCCGTTTTACATCCCACCAGCAATGTAAAGCAACGTAGTTCCTCTACGTCCTTGCTAATACTTATTTTCCTTCTTTTTGATTATTGCCATCCTAGAGGGTGTAAAGTGGGTATCTCATGGTAGTTTTGATGTGCATTTCCCTAATGACTAATGAGGTTCAGCATCTTTTCATGTGTTTATTGGCCATGTGTATATCTTTGGAGAAATATCTGTTCAGATCCTTTGCCCCTTTTTAATTGGGTAACTTGTCTTTTTATCGTTGAGTTATAAGAGTTCCTGGTAGATTCTGGATGCTAATCCATATTATTTGTGTTTGTGTTGGTCTGTTAAGGAACATGGTTTCATGGTCATGTAAAGCTCACCAGGGACAGAGAGACAGGTTTCCCCTGCCTGGTCCCAGAGAACCCACAAAGCTCCTGTCACCCAGGCTGGAGTGCAGTGGCGCAATCTCTGCTCACTGCAATCTCTGCCTCCCGATTCAAGCGATTCTCCTGCCTCAGCCTCCTGAGTAGCTGGGATTACAGACACCCACCACCACGCCTGGCTAATGTATTCCAGCCTACAGTTTTGGGCTGTGGAAAAGCAATTGTTCCTCATACATTTCCTTGGGGTGCAGTTGGGTTGGGTTGGGTTGGGTTGGGTTGGGTTCAGTTGCATTGGGTTGGGTTGGGTTGGGTTCAGTTGCATTGGGTTGGGTTGGGTTGGGTTGGGCTCTTCATTTGGTATTCGGCACTTAGGGTTGACTTCCTCCTTGGAAATGTACTACCCTCTCTCCCATTCAGGTTTTCCAAGGGGTGACATTGGGACCTGCCTATGGGGCCAGATTTCTTCCTCCTAACACAGAGACAGCTTGGGAAGGGAGCTTGCCAGCCTTTGCATCTTGACTCCAGGTCCCTTTAGCTGAATGACACGTTTTCTCTTTTCTTTTTTTCCAGTGACACTACCTGAGAAGCCTGTTAAACTAGCTTCACATACCAGAGACACTACAGGTGTATCTCAGATGTTCCCTTCTTCAAAGGCTAGAACAAAGTAAGGGCAGGGTCGGCCTGGGTATCCATGGACCTACTTCAGTCTAAATGCTCTTTGCCCCTCCACCCCCCACCTTCTACTTCACACTTGCTCGCCATTTTATTTTTTTTTTTAAGAGAGTCTCTGTCGCCCAGGCTGGAGTGCAGAGGCACAATCTCAGCTCACTGCAACCTCCGCCACCCCGGTTCAAGCAATTCTCCTGTCTCAGCCTCCCGAGTAGCTGGGACTACAGGTGCCCACCACCACACCCAGCTAATTTTTATATTTTTCATAGAGATGAGGTTTCACTATATTGGTCAAGCTGGTCTCAAACTGACCTCAGGTGATCCGCCCACCTCGGCTTCCCAAAGTGCTGGGATTACAGGCGTCAGCCCCTGCGCCCAGCCTATTGTTTTTAACAATTTGTTTTTAAGCAGTTCTACTGCTAACAAAGTTGGAAATCACTGCATCAGCAGGCTTGTGATATTCTTTTTAGCACCTCTGTTCTCCAGAGAAATCTATCTGAGATTCCTTGGGCTTTCTAAGCCACTCTTCCCCTTTTTAGAGTCATCCAGTGCCCTTGGATGCATGTAGGGGCTATGCCTCCCCTTTGCAGGTCCCTCCTGGGTGATGATGTCTTCAGCACCATCGCAGGCCTGGAAGAAGCTGATGCTGAGGTAAGCCTGGCCATTTCCTACTCCTCCACCTCTCTGCTTATCCCAGAAACAATGAGATGGGTGTTGTTGCCAAGGGGCTGCCCACAGAAGGGTTTAGAAGTCCCTGCAAAGTCACTTTGTTCTTTCTTTCTTTCTTTTTATTTTTTTTTTGAGATGGAGTCTTGCTCTGTTGCTCAGGCTAGAGTGCAATGGCACGATCTTGGCTCACTGCAACCTCCACCTCCTGGGGTCAAGCAATTCTCCTGCCTCAGCCTCCCAAGTAGCTGGGATTATAGGCGCCTGCCACCATGACTGGCTAATTTTTTTTGTCCGGTTTTTTTTTTTTTTTTTTTGAGACGGAGTCTCCCTCTGTTGCCCAGGCTAGAATACAGTGGTGCGATCTTGGCTCACTGCAATCTCCACCTCCTGGTTCAAGCAATTCTCCTGCTTCAGCCTCCTGAGTAGCTGGGATTACAGGTACCCACCACCACGCCTGGCTAATTTTTGTATTTTTAGTAGAGGTGGGGTTTCACCATGTTGGTCAAGCTGGTCTCAAACTCCTGACCTCTTGATCCACCCGTATCAGCCTCTCAGAGTACTGTGATTACAGTCTGAGCCACTGTGCCCAGCCAAAGAAAATAATTTTTGTATTTTTAGTAGGTAATTTTGTATTTTTAGTAGAGACGGGGTTTCACCATGTTGACCAGGCTGGTCTCAAACTCCTGACCTCAAGTGATCTAACTACCTCGGCCTCCCAAAGTGCTGGGATTACAGGCATGAGCCACCGCGCCCAGCCATCACTTTGTTTTTAAAGCAAAATAATGCCTAAGGGCTGCCGAGTGACTCAAAGCAGAATCCTCTTTCCTGTAGTAAGATGAGTGGAAAGGAGAGCTCCCTGAAACGGCTAGAATCTTAGATGTTGCTCCTTTCCCCTAATAAGCTCCATAGCTATCCACTGGCATGGGTGGGAAGTAGCAGAATTCCGGTGCTGGATGGAAGGGTTCTCTATGGTTGGAAGGGGCAGGAATGGCAGTGCTTTCTGAGTCTCTACAACCAGGCAGGTTTGGCTTCAAACAACTGCCAAGCCCAAGCAAGGGGAACAAAGCCACCCTTCTGTGTAAGCTCCGTTGGCTGTGTAAGCTCCTGCCGCGCCGTCTGCCCTAATAGAAGCAAGCGGCCAGGACCCTGAATTTTATGGGGCCTTGACTAATGTGCCTCCTAGTCTGTGTCCTCACCCTCCTTGTGGACTTAGGTTTCAGGTATCTCAGAGGCAGACCCACAGGCTCTGCTCCAGGCCATGAAGGTAAGGAAACAGCTTGCTGGATTCTTAGAACTGGGCGTGGGTGCGGTGGGGTCATGATATTTTGTACCAAGGCTTCATTCTCCCTCTGATTTCTCCCTTTACAACCTGTGTTTCTGAGCCCTTCCTCATGCAAGCATGGAACTCATCTGTGAGCCGTTGGCCTTCTCGCCTTTCTGGGTATCAACCAGTGTTGCTGGTATATAGAGAATGGAGGGTGCCACAGGCCTCTGGGGAAATGGGGCCAGCCCTACTTGGAGGCCCACCTAGCTGGGTCCCCTCACTTCCACCTAGAGGACAGCAGGAAACTGCCTCCTCTAATGCTTGTTCTTAATTTTTCTCCATATTTCTCTCCACATCCCCTGCCAAGCCCCCTTCAATACTGCTGTCTTCTCATCAGATCAAGCCCAGCGCCAATCTTTGCAATAGATTTTTAAGGCACAGATTCTGAATAATTTGTAAGGACGTAATCTCTAGCTTGGCCTAGGACACTTTGTTCTCCCTCTCCTTCCAGCCAGCAGCACCCTCCTGTCTGACCCTTGGGGTTTTGTGTCCCTTTTAGTTAACCCATTTTGCCATAGTCCCCAGGACAAGGCCACGCTTTTGGTTACAGCCCTCTGGGGCTCTTGTTTTTGTTGTGTTTTTTTGTTTTTTTGGTATTTTTTTTTAGAGACACTGTCTCATTCTATCACCCAGACTGGAGTGCAGTGGTGTGATCTCATTGCAACCTTACACTCCTGGCCTTAAGCGATTCTCTTACCTGGGCCTCCCAAAATAGTGTAATTACAGGCATGAGGCACCACACCCGGCCCAGATTCAGCTTCTTTAACCTCATCTTGAAATCTTTCCCCTCAAAGGCCAGGCACAGTCAGTCACACCTATAATCCCAGAACTTTGGGAGGTCGAAGCAGTAGGCTCGCTTGAGCCTAGGAGTTGGAGACTGCAATGAGCTATGATCACACCACTGCACTTCAGCCTGGGTGACAGTGAGACTCTGTCTTAAAAAAAAGATGAAGATAAAAAAAGAAGGGCCGGGCGGGGTAGTGGCTCCGACGCCTGTATCGCGCGAGCTGATGGGAGCCAAGGGCAGGGATCAGCTGGGAGGGTCGGAGTGCGTGGAGACCTAGCCTGACCAACATGGAGAGAACCCCGTTTCTACTAAAAATAACAAAATTAGCTGGGCCCTGGTACGCACATGCCTATAATCCCAGCTACTAGGGAGCTGGAGGCAGGAGAATTGCTTGAACCTGGGAGGCGGAGGTTGCGGTGAGCGAGACGTGGCCAGCGAGCCGAGCCTGGGCAACAAGAGTGAAACTCCGCCTCAAAAAAAAAAAAAAAAAAAAAAAAAAGCCTGGCATGGTGGCTTAGTCCTGTAATGCCAGCACTTTGGGAGGCCAATGCAGGTGGATCACTTAAGCTCAGGAGTTAGAGGCTGCAATGAGCTATGATCGCACCACTTCACTCCAGCCTGGGTGACAGAGTGAGACTCTGTCTTTATTTTATTTTATTTTTAATTTATTTTTATTTTTTTGAGACGGAGTTTTGCTCTCTTGCCTAGGCAGGAGTGCAGTCGCACGATCTCGGCTCACTGCAACCTCCAGCTCTCAGGTTCAAGCAATTCTCCTACCTCAGCCTCCCAAGTAGCTGGGACTACAGGCGTGCACCACCACGCCCAACTAAATTTTGTATTTTTAGTAGAGATAGGGTTTCACCATGTTGGCTAGGATGGTCTCGATTTCTTGACCTGGTGATCCACCTGCCTCAGCCCAAAGTGCTGGGATTACAGGCATGAGCCACCGTGCCCGGCCAATATCCTGTCTAAAAAAAGAAAAAAAAGGAAAGCTTTTTTCCCAGACCAGCCACCTAGGATCCCTGGACATAACCCACAAGTCCTCTGACTCAGTTTTTGATGCTAACTTTGAGTCTCTCATCCCAGAACCATGAGTGGACTCCACTCCACTCCACTCCACCCTGCTTACCTTTAGTTCCATTTTCTTTCTTCACTCACTGTTTTTCTCAACAGTTTTTGCATTTTCCTTTGTTTTCTCACAGTTCTGCCCCTGGGGTGCCAACAGCCCATCTCTCTCAGGTGGAAGTCCCCACCCCCTTATCAGACATCATCCTCTGCCCTTCCTCCCTGGTTTTCTAGGACCTGGACGGCATGGATGCTGATATCTTAGGTCTGAAGCAGTCTAATCCAGCCCCTAGCAAAAAAGCTGCAAAGGACCCTGGGAAAGGAGAGCTGCCCAGCCACCCCAAGCCTGCAGGTGGGTCAGTAGCCAGTGAGAAAGGTGCATGGGAGACGGCTCCTCGAATCTGTTAGGGAGACTTTGAGGATGTGGAAGATGCTAGTAGGAAGTATTTGTGTCCTTGGGTTTTCTCTGCGCAAGCTGGAGGGGTCAAGAAGCAGTTGTGCGTGTGTGTGTTTGAGTGTGTGTGGTGGGGTAAGGGGACAGCTTGAGTTTCCTCCCTTCCTCGAGCTGTTCCAGGCCCTCTGGGTCCAACATGGGCAGCTCCTGGAGAGGCTGTGTGAGTTAAAATGGAGAACTCTATGGTAGCCTGTGCCTCTCCTGAACCCATGTCTCTGGAGTGACTCATGATGAGGGAGCGGAGGTAGCTCCTACCACGTTTCCCTACCAGAAGCCCATGGGAGAACTGGAGACTCCTCCCTTGGCTGTGCCTATGGCCATGAGCCCCCAGCTTCCCAGGAAGAAGTGTACCCCATCCCAGAGGTCCCAGTCCATGGTATGGGAGGAAGACTTTGGCCAGGAGAGACTCAGGCCTACAACCTTGCCTTCTGCTTCCTGCAGGGGGCGCCATATCCACCAAGAAGTCACCTCCGTCTCCCAGCAGCTCTGGGCATCAGAACAGGAGGTTTTCCTCTGAAGGTATCATAGGCTCCTGTCATGCCTCTGGGACACTCTGGTTTGGGAGTGGAGCAGCCTGGGTGCACTTTCTGGCCCGAGGCCCCGCTGCTGCCTATGTCACGTGGGGAGCAGAGAGCTGGTGCCACCGGTTTAGTTCCTCATGAATTCATGTTGGGACCAGTTATATTGTATCGGCTGAGATATTGGGGAACTTACTTGCAAAGACCTTAAAGCCAGGCATCAAACTGAAGATTTTCCCCAATATAGGAAGAAGCCCCTTTCCCGTCATGAATGTGTGGACATTTTATATCTCTTTTGATGCTTCAGGGACATTTCCAGAAGGCCATGCAGCCTGCAGAGTCAGAGGCCCCACGGGCAAGCCTGAGGCAGGCCCCATAGGCCCAGGGCCGCCCTCCGACTCCCTCTCCCCTTGCCCGGCCTCTGGAGTCCCTGTTGCCCCAGGCCCCACCCTCCAGATGCCAGGGGGCTTGTTTATGTACTGGAGCAGCCACAAGTCTTGACTTGAGCGCTGCTCCCCAGTTCAGGCTTGCTTTTCCTCAACTAAGTGCTGCGGTCTGACCTGTGCTTTCCCTTCTGCTGTGAGACTTGGAAGACCCGTTGGCAGGACTTCTCTCCTATGATGAAGAAGGAATCACCAAGAAGCCGCCTGTGACAGAGAGTAAAACAGCTTCTGACAAGAGCCCCAGCACAGTCAGAGATCAAGGTAGGGTGGAGTGGGCTCACTTCCCATCCTGGAGGAAGGCTTTATTGGCAACAGGTTAACCAACCTTTCTGGAGCAGAACCAGAGGCCTCTCCCGGCTGGGGACCAGAGGTCTAAGGTCCAGTACAAAGAGATCATCAGCCTTTAGGAATAGGGAGGTAGGATGTGTGAGTCTGGGAGTCGGCTGGAGGAATTGGGTCCCGTGACAGACCGGGCAGGTCTAAAGCCTGTCGTCCTACCCAAAGGTGCAGAGAAACCACCCCCCAACCCATTCAGACATCACAGCTGAGGGCAAGAAGGCTGTGGGCATTGGGCCTTGTGTTCTGTCTTTCAGGTCCCTCTATTCCGCTAACTCCTGGAGACACCCCCATCCGAAAAAGAGAATTGTTTGACGATGGGGATGACATCATGGCCACCTTGGGGTTTGGAGACAGCCCCAAAGCAGAGAAGAGGCAGATGGGAGACCAGTAAGGATCCCTATGAGTAGGCCGAGCTGCTGCCTGAGGCTGCTGCTTCAGGTTCAGGGAAAAGCTGGTGGACGGGTACTGTGGGGGTCCCAAGAGCCCCTCATACCCACACGTTCCTGCCGTGTGTCCCGTCCTGCAGGGAAGGGCCTCGCCCTGCTCGCTCCACGCTGGATGAGCTGCTGGGTCGAGGCACGGCCACCAAACTCCTGGCCCGCCCGGGCACAGGGGAGCACAGGGAGTTCAAGCTAGACAAGAAGTACCAGAGGCCACAGGGTAAGGAGGCTTGCGGGGGCCGCGACAGGACGGGAGGGAGGCCTCTAGATCAGGCTTTCATTACAACCTATAATAAGAAATCAGCGTCACATCCTGATACGCACATGTGATTATACACGTCTGTAGCTGAGACAAAAGCGTCATGTAATAATACTTACCGAGACCACTGTTCGTGCTCGGTCGTCTATGATTGAGATGCTGTTTGATTTGGAAACACACTGACTGTGACACATTAAGCTGGTTTCTCGGCCCCCTCATGGGTAGCAGCTCGCATCTGAAAAGTACTGCTCTGGCCAGTGTTTCTCAAAGCATCGGCCCACACGCTGTCCGCTGAGAATCGTTCTTGTGACACATGCAGCTCGCTGGACCTGACCTCGAGGGATCCTGGGGCAGGGCCCGGCTACTGCAAAGCCACTGCATCTTCCTGGCCAGTGCCTGAGGTGCTCCCTTCACAGCAGCTTCCCTCTGCTTGTCTTACACAACAAGCTACCAAATTCAGCTTTTGTTAGAATTTTGCAGCCGCAAATGAGCTCAGTTTCCCCTACTCCAGATCGTGGTCACAGGCTCCTTAATTCACAGAGAGTGAAGATGCGTGGGGAGACGAGGACTTCACCTTTGGAGCCTATCAGCCCACCGTGGGCTCCTCTGAGGGCCGGCAGTCCCGCAGGCAGTCTGTTAGGTAAGTGGGGCCTGCAGGAGGCCTGGCCTCTGAGACAGATCGTCCACTGGGATGACAGGCCCCTGCAGCTGGCCCCTGTCCCACCCAAGAGTCCCGTGTGGAAGGCCACAGGGTACAAGGCCCTCAGCTCTGTGGGTGCTGGAGGAAGCAGGAGATGGCCTGGTCTCGCCAGCCCAGACAGAGTGGTGGAGACGGCCCCAGTGGGAGCCCCCATCCCAGACACTGCTCAGATTCGCCAGTGCCCCACCCAGCCTCAGAAGGAAAGGAGCAGGTAGGCCTGCCTCCACCTAAAGTCCCTGAAATCATAAAAGGCTGTAATGTCACTCGGTCTCCCCAAGGAACATACATCCTGATGGGTAGCAAGATCTCTACAGTGGCCTCTGCAGTGACATCTCAGATCCCGCTTCCCAGGAACTCTGCTGTTGAACCTGCCGTGACAATTCGGATAGCGTGATCCTCGCAGTTTACAAAAAAAAAAATTAAAGCGATAGTATAGGATTTTCTGAGTCTGGAGTTTTTTCCCAATATATATTTTAAACTTTGTATTTTGAAGGAATTTCAAACTTCAAAAGTTGGCTGGGTGTGGTGGCTCACACCTGTAATCTCAGCAGTTTGGGAGACCAAGGCAGGTGGATCACCTGAGGTCAGGAGTTCAAGAACAGCGTGGCCAACATGGTGAAACCCCGTCTCTGCTAAAAATACAAAAAGTAGCTGGGTGTGGTGGTGGGCACCTGTAATTCCAGCTACTCGGGAGGCTGAGGCAGGAGAATAGCTTGAACTCCAGAGGTGGAGGTTGTGATGAGCTGAGATTGCACCGCTGCACTCTAGCCTGGGCAATAGAGTGAGACTCCATCTCAAAAAAAAAACTTCAGAAGTCGTAAGAACAGCGCTTCCCAGGTTCAGCAGTTGTTCCCATTATGCCAGGTTGGCTTCCTCAGCCTCTTTCTATCTGAATAGCTCTGTGCATGTTGGCATTTCTTCCCACACCCAGTATGTTCTTAACCCTGGGTACCTGCTGCCACTGGTCAGTGACAGATGAAGGCCATGGCCGAACAAATGAAGTAACTGTTGTTGGAAAACCTGGAAACCACTTGATCCAATTTATTATTTTTTTTAGACAGAGTCTCACTCTGTCACCCAGGCTGGAGCGCAGTGGCATGATCTCTTTTTACCACAACCTCCACCTCCCAGGTTCAAGCAGTTCTTGTGCCTCAGCCTACCAAGTAGCTGGGATTACAGGCGCCCGCCACCACACCTGGCTTTTTTTGTGTGTTTTTAGTAGAGATGGGGTTTCACTATGTTGGCCACGCTAGTCTCGAACTCCTGGCCTTAAGCGATCTGCCCACCTTGGCCTCCCAAAGCTCTGGGATTACAGGCGTGAGCCACCATGCTCGGCCTGATTTTTCTATAGACCTGTGTGCCCACGGCTGTCATTTCATTCTGTTCCTGCTCTCTGCAGGGAGAACTGTCCCTGGTTCATGTGATGGAAGTCAAGATCTCTGTACTTCGTTGTTCTACAGATAGCACGTGGCCTGCCACATGAGCCGGTCCAGGAGCCACTGCTTACTGGGCCTCAGCTGAGCGTGCAGGGTCCCTGGGCATCGTGCCGCCCAGCCCCAGGCTGCTAGGGGGCCAATGGGACTGGCTGCTTCCCCTGCCTGACACCCTCCTTTCTGTCTTGAAGTAGGTTCTTAGCAGACAGTGGCCCAGACCCCAAGGGAGAACCAGGCTCCAAACAGAGCCCTCCAGCTGCTTCCAGCCCCATCCAGCCCAGGAAGGGAGGAGCTGACTGGCTGGGCCTCAAGGACGAGGACTTGGACCTGCTCCCTGCCTCACCCACCAGAGAGGCCCGTCGGGAAAGCTCGGTGCCTGCCACGCCCTCAGTGCCTCCTCCTGCGAGCCAGCACTCCACACCAGCTGGGCTGCCCCCCTCCAGGGCAAAGCCACCAACCGAAGGGGCAGGGTCCCCTGCCAAAGCCAGCCAGGCTTCCAAGCTGCGAGCCTCCAAGGAGGAGGAAGAGGAGGACTGGCTGAGCCATGCCCTGTCTCAGAAGAAGTCCCAAGGCCTGGCCAGAGAGCAACGTGCTGGGGCCTCTGAGGGCCTGAGTTTGGCGGGGACAGCGGGCCATCCCCCTTCTGGCAGGTATGGGCTTGGGCTGCTGTGGCTAGTAGGGGGAGGACTGGCTGCAGACTTGAGGAGCCCCTTTGCCCCTCCACCTGTTGCAGCCTCAGTCGGAAGTTGGGGAACAAGGCAGGGCACTGTGGGCACAGAGGCCATTTCTTGGCTTTGCTACTCTGCCTTTTGGGCACTGCAGAGAGAGCCTCTGGCTCCCGGGCTTGCCCCAGGGACACACCCAAGAAGGAGGGCTGTTGACATTCATGCCCTGACCGCCATGGGGACAGGTGCTAACTAGATCGGGCAGAAGACAGAGGGTACCTGAGGTGGCAGACACACCGCTGCCCTGTCACAGCACCCTCAGGCTGGAAGCCCCAGCGTCCAAACAACTGGTGCTTCTGCCGACTCCACTGAAGTGAATGTGGCGTGTGTGAGACGAAATGTCCCTGTGCTCTTTGAGAGTGTTAGAAGAGACACAGTGGCCGAGAAGCACCTCCTGGCAAGCCCCTATCCGTGGGGCAGGATAGCAAGTGACCTCTGAGGGCAGGAAGGCACAAGGGGCCGGCAGGCTGGGGGAGTCCAGAGGAAGTGGTGAGATGTGCTGTGGCCAGAGCCCAGGGTAGTGAACTGGGGAATTTGTGGCAGCCCAGGGACGTCACCCAGTCCTGGGGTTGATGAGGGCAGTTTTGACTTTGACCTGAGGCCGAGGGGAAAGCTTAGGCCAAAACAGATGAGAGCCTGTCTCTTCACTGACCTGTGAGCCGAGAAAGAGGTGGGAATAATGGGAAAGGGAGCCAGCCAGATTTGGGAGACTAAGCAGAACCTTAATCTAGAGCTGAGCCAAGTTAAGTGGGCTGAAACAGGGCTCTGAACTTGAACTTGACGCCAGTGTCTATAACATTTCCATTGTCACTGCTTGGACCGTGTCCATTCACTGCGCCACTGTGGACACTGAGGCAGGAAGGGGGTACTTGAAGGGAAGAGATGCCCAGAAATCCCAGGAGCTCAGATGTGGGAGGAGAATGCCCCAAGATGGGATGATGGGAGCAGGAGGAAGGGCGGCCACGAGCTTCACGTGTGAAGCCCGTCCTGGGACCCGTCTTCATCCAGCCTGACCTGGGCCTTCTGTCACCTTCACCTTGAATGCTGCCTTTCCTCAGCCAACCTGTCACCAGCACACAAGGACTTGAGCAAGCAGCTACTGGAGGGAGCTCCGGAACAACCGCACAACAAAGACCGTGTGTCAGGCCTGGTGACTCAGGGTAGGCCTGGGCTGCGGGCTGAGTGGGAGTGAGATCGTGGTGGGCAGCACAGGCCTCTGTCCTTAGAGAGGGACACAGAGGCTGCTCACGCTGCCCCATCCCCATGCCCTACACAGAGGCTGCCCACCCTGCCCCGTCCCCGTGCCCCACGCAGAGGCTGCCCACCCTGCCCCGTCCCCGTGTCCCACGCAGAGGCTGCCCACCCTGCCCCGTCCCCGTGCCCCACGCAGAGGCTGCCCACCCTGCCCCGTCCCCGTGTCCCACGCAGAGGCTGCTCACCCTGCCCCGTCCCCGTGTCCCACGCAGAGGCTGCTCACCCTGCCCCGTCCCCGTGTCCCACGCAGAGGCTGCTCACCCTGCCCCGTCCCCGTGTCCCACGCAGAGGCTGCTCACCCTGCCCCGTCCCCGTGTCCCACGCAGAGGCTGCTCACCCTGCCCCGTCCCTGTGTCCCACGCAGAGGCTGCTCACCCTGCCCCGTCCCTGTGTCCTCAGGTCCCCTGTGACTTGGAACCATGCCGCCTCAGCACTCCCTACAGGTTCCCCAAAGAGGCGACCAGCCCCTGGAGACCTCTCGTCCACTGGTTTGTTTTTTGTTTTCTGCTTCATTTGGGAGTTTAACCCTGGGTGAGGAAGAGGTGCTTTGAGCTTCCTTTGGGGTCCCTGGGACATGAGTGACACCAGTCCCTCTTGGACACTCACAGGCCCAGAGCCCTGGGCCTCCTGCTCATTTCTCTGCTGTTGATGTTTCAGAGCCTGCCACCTGTTTCCCGAGCACCCAGGAACCCACAAAGCCTTCCATGCCCATCCAGGTAGGGGTGTGGGCAGACAGGTCTAGCTCAGGGCCTAGGGAGCAATTCTCCATGCCCAGAGGCAACACCAACAGTTTGACCTGATGACCTGCCAGGAAAAATATGTCAAACATACCAAATGTGACGTCAGCCAGCTCCCCCGGCACCCCCCACCAGAACTTGCCTGAATCTCTAGCCTCGCTGCTCCCAGGCAGAGCTGGGTGTTAATTTGCCTACATCAGTGAGGAGTTTGAGGAGGTAGCCAGGCCGGGGAGCTGGGACGCTGCAGTCAGAAAGCAGGGCCCAGGGTCCTGTTCTGTCAAAAAAGCCTCCTCCACCCCTGCCATCCTCGCACCACACCTCTGCCTCTGTTTCCCATGTGTGGCAGTCACCTGTGACATGTAGGCCTGGGAGGTGTGGCCCCCAGGAGTGTGTCCCTGGGAGATGGTGGGTAGGGGACAGCTTGTGGGAACCAGATTAGTGTCAACATGTGGGCTTGAGGCCTGACAGGAAAAGCCAGCGTCAGCTTTTGTCATAGCAGAGACTCTACTGGGGCTCAGCCATTTGTCTGGGAAGCCGGAGACCATGCAGGGGAGGAAGCTGTTCTGGGGTGGTGGAGGGAGACATGCTCCTGACCAGACCTGCAAGGGGAGGTACACTGGGGACTGCTCAGCCACAGTGACTGTGACTCTCCAAGGCCTTGGACCCATCTGCAGCCATAGATCAGATGCAGGGAGGTCCAGTGAGCAGCAGGCCAGGAGGTAGCTGATCTCAGCTGGGCCCCTGTCCCCTCCCTAACCAGGAACCTCTCTTCCTCTTCTCCAGCCCCTGCTCCCAGAGTCCCTAGCCCGGAGCCTGCTGCCAGGTACAGAATACCAGAAGCAGCTCCTGGCAGCACAGGGGCAGCTTCAGAGTGGCACCACTGAACTCCAGGCCGAACTGCTACAGAGCCAGGCCCGGCTGGCAGAGCTGGAGACCCAGGTGAGGGCAGTGGGGCCACTGGCGCTGGGGGCAGGGTTGCGATGGGAGGGGACACTGAGAGTGGCTGGAAGCTTCCCCAGGAGGGAGGAGGGGCTGTTGGCACAGGGCAGCGTGGAGTACAGCTGCCTCCCCTCCCTGGTCGCTGGCCCTCCTGCTGTCTTCTAGGTGCGGAAGCTGGAGCTGGAACGGGCCCAGCATGAGCTGCTGCTAGGGAGTCTACAGCAGCAGCACCAGGCAGACTTGGAGCTCATCGAGAGTGCACACAGGTAACCTGGTGCTGGCCCCAGCTCTGCCTTGGATCTCACGTTGACCCCAAAGCCATCCCAGTGTGTCTGGAGAGGCTTTTAGGTGGCAGCCCTCTGCCTTCCTCGCACCATGGCTGGGTGTTCTGTTGGCAGAAGCCGCATCAAGATGCTAGAAACATCGTACCAGCAACGGGAGGAGCGGCTCCGGAGAGAGAATGAGGAGCTGTCAGCTCGGTATCTGTCGCACTGCCAGGAGGCTGAACAGGCCCGTGCTGAGCTCACGGCCCAGCACCAGCGGCGCTTGGCGGCCACAGCGCAGGAGAAGGACCAGGAAATGCAGCGGCTCCAGGAGCTGCAGCGGTGAGGCCCAGGGACAGGCAGCTGGGGAGCGGGCTTGCAAGGAGTAGCCGGAAGAGAGCCATCCCTATGAGACCCTTCGCTGTGACTCAGTAGCCTTTGGACAGGGGTTCGGGTCCTTCCCTCCCACTCCAGTGAGTGAGGACTGAGGGCTGGGCACACTGACTCATCATACCCATGGGTAGGGGTGCCACCTGCTCTTACAGAGGCAGGAGGGGTACCCACAGGCTGTTCAGGCACGGCATGGCAGCAGCAAGTCCCCCAGGGTCTAACTAAGCACAGGGTCATCCACTCACCTGCTTACGCAGTAGAGGCTAGAAACAAGATCCACCTGGGAAAGGCTTGCGCTGTTGTGCCTGCCATGTTGATAGGGTTGCCTTTCTAGAAGAGAAGGAAACTAAGAAAGGTTACCTAAGGCAACCAGGTTGATGAAGGCAGAGGCAACCTTTTAAGACTGCTCAGGGCCAGGCACAGTGGCTCACACCTGTAATCCCAGCACTTTGGGAGGCCAAGGTGGGAGGATCACTTGAGGCCAGGTGTTTGAGACCAGCCTGGGCAACACAGTGAGACCTTGTCTCTAAAAACAATTTTTAAATTAGCTGGCATGATAGTGTACTCCTGTAGTTCCAGCTACTTGGGAGGCTGAGGCAGGAGGATACCTTGAGCCCAAGAGATCAGGGCTGCAATGAGCTATGATCATGCCACTGCACTCCAGCCTGGACCACAGAACAAAACCCTGTCTCTAAAAACATTTAAAAAATAAAATAAACACTTGGGAGGCCAAGGTAGGAGAATTGCTTGAGGCTAGGAGTTCAAGACCAGCCTGGGCAACATAGTGAGACCTCATCTCTACAAAAATTAAAAAAAAAGAAAAGAAAGACTGCTCGGGGCCGGGCGCGGTGGCTCACGTCTGTAATCCTAGCGCTTTGGGTGGCCAAGGCAGGCAGATTGCCTGAGCTCAGGAGTTCGAGACCAGCCTGGGCAACACAGTAAAACCCCATCTCTACTAAAATACAAAAAATTAGCTGGGCGTGGTGGTGGGCACCTGTAGTCCCAACTACTTGGGTGGCTGAGGCAGGAGAATTGCTTGAACCCAGGAGGCGGAGGTTGCAGTGAGCCGAGATCATGCCAGTGCGCTCCAGCCTGGGTGACAGAGTGAGACTCCGTCTCCTAAAAAAAAAAGCTGAATAATGGGAGGATTGCCCATCTTAGTGTGTGTAGCATTGAGGCACCATGACAGATAAGACAGAGGAGCTGGGGAAACTGAGGCAGTGCCCAGTGGAGGAGAGGCCTGGGAGCAAGGGCTGCTCAGAAGCACGCCCTTCCCCAAGGAATTGCCGCATCCGGGTGGTCCAGCTCAGAGTGACCACCTTCCCGTCCCGCCTCCCCTCAGGGCGTCCATCCTAGAGATGCGCAGAGACCATGAGGAGCAGCTGCAGCGGCTAAAGCTGCTGAAGGACCGAGAGGTCGATGCGGCCACCAGTGCCACCTCTCACACGCGGTATGTGCGCCACCCCAACCATGCCCACCTGAGGGTGGGGTCTGGGGGGTCCCCGAGACCTTCAGGAGGGGCTGACCCAGTCTTCTTCCAGGTCCCTGAATAGCATCATCCATCAGATGGAGAAGTTCTCCAGCAGCCTGCACGAGCTGTCCTCCCGTGTGGAGGCCTCGCACCTCACCACCTCCCAGGAGCGGGAGCTGGGGATCCGGCAGCGTGACGAGCAGCTGCGGGGTACGCCCTCCCCTCTCAGCCACCTGGGCTCCTGGTGGGAAGGGGAGCAGCTGCTGAGCACCCTGTGGGTTGCCCCCAGCACTGCAGGAGCGGCTGGGCCAGCAGCAGCGGGACATGGAGGAGGAGCGGAGCCGGCAACAGGAAATCATCGGGAAGATGGAGGCACGGCTGAATGAGCAGAGCCGGCTGCTGGAGCAGGTGAGGCCCATCCTCCTGGCCCTCCTGCCATGGGGCCTCTTCTCCAGGGCACCCGCAGGCGTGGCGGCACTCCCAACCTCACCTTCTCAGGAGGTCAGCACCCCACGTGCAGCTTCCTGCCTCTACATCTCCCTGCCCCAGCCAGGCCCTCAGCACTGCCCACCTGAGCACGCAGGGGCCACCTGGCCAGGCCCCCACCACGCCCTGCCTGCTCCTCAGCACCACAAGCCGCTCGGCCGCCTTGGCTGCCCTCACAGTCTAGCCCCTGCAACCATCAGCTGCACTTCCCACTTCCTGACACTCGAATCTGTCACATCAGCTGAGGCCTGACATTGGGACAGATGCTCTTGCCTATTAAATGTCATCCTAGCCTCTTCAGCTCTCACAGAGACATTTGAACTCCCTAGATACCTTTCATATATAAGCACATGCTTTATTTAAATAATAATGACCTGGCTGGGCTCGGTGGCTCACGCCTGTAATCCCAGCACTTTGGGAGGCCAACGCGGGTGGATCACAATGTCAGGAGATCGAGACCATCCTGGCTAACACAGTGAAACACGGTCTCTACTAAAAATACAAAAAATTAGTCGGGCATGCTGGCAGGTGCCTGTAGTCCCAGCTACTCGGGAGGCTGAGACAAGAGAATGACGTGAACCTGGGAGGTGGAGCTTGCAGTGAGCCGAGATCGCACCACTGCACTCCAGCCTGGGAGACAGCGAGACTCCGTCTCAAAAAAAAAAAATAAATAAATAATGATTACCTTAGCCAGGCACAGTGGCCAGTGCCTGTAATCCCAGCTACTTGGGGGGCTGATGCAGAAGGATCACTTAAGCCCAAGAATTTGAGATCAGCCTAGCGAGACCATAGCAAGACCCCACCTCTAAAAAAATTTTTTTATGCCAGGCAAGTTGACTCATGCCTGTAATTCCAGCACTTCGGGAGGCCAAAGTGGATCACTTGAGGTCAGGAGTTTGAGACCAGCCTGACCAACATGGTGAAACCCTATCTCTACTAAAAATAAAAAAACTAGCCGGGCATGGTGGCGCATACCTGTAATCCCAGCTATTAGGGAGGCTGAGGCAGGAGAATCGCTTGAACCCAGGATGCGGAGGTTGCAGTGAGTGGAGATCGTACCACTGCACACCAGTCTGGTTAACAACGAGACTCTGTCTCAAAAAAATAAATAAATAATAAAAACATTTAAATTTTGTTTTAATGAACTGGGTGTGGTGGTGCACACCTGCAATCCCTGCCTTTGCTCACATCCTTTTCCTTACCTGTGGGAATCTTTCTAGGCTGAACTCAACGGTAATGAATCTTTTGATGCTACCACCTCCACGAAGCCTTCCTTGTCCTCCCACCTGTCTTTTTGTCCCCAACTGTCATAAAGCGCTTTGTTGTTTTTTTTTTAGAGACAGGGTCTTGCTCTGTTGCCCAGGCTGGAGTCCAGTGGTGTGATCATAGCTCACTGCAGCCTGACCTCCTTGGCTCAAGCCATCCTCCTGCCTCAGCTTCCTGAGTAGCTGGGACTACAGGCACACACCACCACACCCAGCTAATAGTGTATTTTTTGTTGAGATGTGGGTCTTGCCATGTTGCCCAGGCTGGCCTTGAACTCCTGGGCTCAAGCAATCCACCCACTTAGACCTTCCAACATTTTGAGAGTATAGGTGGGAGCCACCACGCCTGGCCAAAAAAAATTTTTTTTAGAGATGGGGTCTCACTGTCACTCAGACTGGAGTACAGTGGCAAGATCTCGGCTCACAGCAGCTTGAACCTCCCGGGCTCAAGCAGTCTTCCCACCTCAGCCCCCAAGTAGCTGAGACCACAGGTGCATGCCACTATACCCAGCTAATTTTTTGTATTTTTTGTAGAAACAGGGGTTTGTCATATTGCCCAGGGTGATCTCAAACTCCTGAACTCAGACAGTCTGCCCACTTTGGCCTCCCAAAGTGCAGGGATTATAGGCGTGAACCACCTTGCCCAGTCAAAAACTTTTTTTTTTTTTTTTTTTGAGTCAGAGTCTTGCTCTGTCGCCCAGGCTGGAGTGCAGTGGTGCGATCTCAGCTCGCTGCAACCTTCGCCTCCCGGGTTGAAGGGATTCTCCTGCCTCAGCCTCCTGAGCTGCTGGGATTACAGGCAACTGCCACCACACCCAGCTAATTTTTGTATTTTTAGTAGAGATGGGTTTCACCATGTTGGCCAGGGTGGTCTTGAACTCCTGACCTCAGGTGATCCACCTGTCTTGGCTTCCCAAAGTGCTGGGATTATAGGCCCTAGCCACTGTGCCTGGCCAAAAAAAAAAAGTTTTTAAAGAAGAAAATAAAAATATCTCACTAGTCAGAGATGTCCACTGCTGAGCTGATATCTATCCTGTAGCCATATCAACATAGATAGAGATGCTTTTATGTTGTGAACCATTTTGATTCGTCTCTTCATTTGGTAACTGTGTTAAGCACCTGCCTGGGGTCAGGCACAGTGAAGCTCTTGCCTCGTGCTGTGTGTGGCTGGGCCCACAGCACAGCATTAGGCCACCCTGTGCTCAGCCTGCTTGGCTGATGGGTGAGGACAGGCAGAGTGTGTAGCTGGCCATTCAGCGGCAGGGATGTTGCTGCTCCTTGGCCCTCCCAAGCTGCTAGCCTTGGTGCTGTTGGAGACCTGAGAGTTGGGAGGGCACCTGCTGGGTCCTCCTCTTGGGCAGAATCATGCGGGCTGGGCCCTGGCAGTGCCTCTCAGGCACCCCTCATTTTGTGCCTCTTTGGGAAGGACAGGTCAGTGGCATAGCGTGGGAGACACTGGTGGGTTCGTGCAGCTCCTCAGGGAGTGGCCAGGCGTGATCCTCAGGGTGGGAACCACGCTCTCAGTCCTGCCCTGGGCCCTACAGGAACGCTGGCGGGTGACTGCCGAGCAGTCCAAGGCGGAGTCCATGCAGCGCGCCCTAGAGGAGCAAAGGAAGGTCACGGCCCAGCAGATGGCCATGGAAAGGGCGGAGCTGGAGCGGGCCAAGGTGAGTCAAGCCACTGCACTCAGCCCCTGACCCTGCCATTATGCCCAGGGACACTCACCCTGCGCCCTCACCCCCCACATCCCAGAGCACCTTGCTGGAGGAGCAGAAGTCTGTCATGCTCAAGTGCGGGGAGGAGCGGCGGCGCCTGGCGGCCGAGTGGGCGGAGTTCTCCGCACAGCAAAAGCTGAGTAAGGAGCGGGCCGAGCGCGAGGCCGAGCGGGCGCTGCAGGTGGACACCCAGCGGGAGGGCACCCTCATCAGCCTGGCCAAGGTAGGGCCCAGAGCCTCCGGACAGTGGAGGGCCCGGGGTAGCCTGCGCCCCTCTATCTGGACACATCCGCTTCTAGTTTTAGGAAAGGAGAGTGTAGCACTAATGTCACAAGAGCATAGGGATTAAAACAGTAATCACATCATCATGCTAACAGCTTCCTCGTATTGTCCCAGGTGCATTATACATGTTTTATCATTGGATCCTCATATTCCCATGACTTTGATCATTTAGAAATGAGGAAACCGAACTTCAGAGTTGAGCCTGCCACCGTCACGTGGCTTGTGAGGGCAGCACCCCGGCTTGGCCCCAGGCTTCTCTGGCCCTCCCTGGAAGCCCTTGGCTCCACCACCCCCTCCCAGGGGCAGGGTGGGCAGAGGGGACCCTAGAGTCCTGCACAGAGTGCAGCGCAACTCCTGGAAGGAGAATGCAGCAGGGCCTCCGCCATCTCCAGGAGCAAGCTGAGCTGAAGATCAGGGCCAGCGAGCTCCGGGCTGAGGAGAAGCAGCTGGCGGCAGAAAGAGCAGCCCTGGAGCAGGAGCGGCAGGAGCTGCGGCTGGAGAAGGAGAGGACCAACGCCACCGCCCTACGTGTCAAGCTCCGCGCGGAGGAGGTGGAGAGCATGAGCAAGGTGCTGCTCAGGCACATGGGTGTGGGCGCGGCTGAGCTCGGGCAGCCCTGACCCAGGCGGCCTCCCTGCAGGTGGCCTCCGAGAAGTATGAGGAGGGCGAGCGAGCATTGCGTGAGGCCCGGCAGGTGCAGGCAGAGCAGCAGGCCCGGTTGCAGGCGGTGCAGCAACAGCAGGAGAGGCTGCGGAAGCAGGAGCAGCACATGCACCAGGCAAGGCTCCCTGAGTGTATGGCACCCCTGCCCCCGACACCCCCAGCCTCGCACCTGACAGCTGAGTCCTTCTTTCCGGGGGAACGGGGACAGGAGCATCTGAGTCTGGCCCAGCAGAGGCTGCAACTGGACCGCGCACGACAGGACCTGCCCTCCAGCCTCGTGGGTCTGTTCCCCAGGGCCCAGGGCCCTGCAGCCTCCAGCCAGAGAGGTGAGTGGCTCCGGAAGGAAGAGCCGGTGGCTCAGGACTGGGCAGGGGCAGTGCTAGGAGTGGGCAGGCCCTCCTCCAGCTGCTCCAGTTAAGGCGGCCAGCTGGGTTTTACAGTCATCTTATTTCTTTTTTACACAAATAATGTGTGTTAATTTTAGATAAATCAGAAACAGAGAGGAACGCTATTATGAAAAATGTCACCTTTTTCTGGACTAAGGGGAAAAAAAGGAAATTAAAAAAGTCGTCATCAGGCTGGGCGCAGTGGCTCACGCCTGTAATCCCAGCACTTTCAGTGGCCGAGGCAGGCGGATCACATGAGGTCAGGAGTTCAAGACCAGCCTGGCCAACATAGTGAAACCCTATCTCTACTAAAAATACAAAATTAGCCAGGTGTGGTGGCAGGTGCCTGTAATCCCAGCTACTCGGGAGGCTGAGGCAGGAGAATCACTTGAACCCGAGAAGTGGAGGTTGCAGTAAGCTGAGATTGTGCCACTGGCACCCTGAGCCTGGACAACAAGAGGACAGGTGTGGTTAAAAAAAAAAAAAAAAAAAAGGTCACCCTCACCACCACTCCCAAGTCTAGGAGAGAACCACCTTTCACTTTTAACTTTTAGTGCATAATGTTCCACCTGAGGTACATTTGGTTTTTTTGTTTGTTTATTTGTTTTTTGAGATGGAGTTTTTGCTCCTGTCACCCAGGCTGGAGTGCAGGAGGACATGATCTCGGCTCACTGCACCTTACCTCCTGGGTCAAGCCCGATTCTCTTGCCTCCAGCCTCTCAGTTAGGCTGGGATTACAGGATATGGCTACAAATGGCTGGGCTATTTTTGTATTTTTAGTTAGAGATAGGTTTTGCTTTGTTGGCCAGGACTAGGTTCTCAAATCTGACTTCAGGTGATCCACCCGCCTTGGCTCCAAAGTTGCTGGGATTATTAGGGCATGGCCATTGCACCCCAGGCCTGGTACATAGTTTTAAAAACGCAAATTAGATGTTATTGTGGTTGTTCGACACCTTTTATTTCTCATGTTCACTCAGTCAATGACACGGTGAAACAGGGTTTTTTGAGATCAGTCATTTAAACATTTATCAATTCCCCAACAGCACAGTTTTCCATGAGGGCTGCTCTGTGGCTCGACGGTGATTTGTGTTTTTTTTTTTTTTTTTTGGAGACAGAGTTTGCTCTTTGTTGCCCAGGGGCTGGAGTGGCATGGCGCCGATTTCTTCGCTTCACCACAACTTCCACCTCCAGTCGAGCCGATTTCTTTCTGCTCCCCTTGCAGGTAGCTGGATTACAAGGCATGTTGCCGCCCGGGCCTAGCTAATTTATGTATTTTCAGTTAGAGGCAGGTTCTCCATGTCGGGTCAGCTGGTTTCAAACTCCGGCCTTAGTGATCTGCCTGCTTGGCCTCCAAAGTTGGCTAGGGATTTTACAGGCGTGAGGGCCACCATGCCGGGCCGACAAGCACGTGCCGCCGGCCTGTTGTCTTAAAGAGAAAGAGTACCCAGTGGACATCTACCTACATACGTCTTTGCACCTTTGCCTGATTATTTCACTTGAATAAATTCCTATAAATGGTCTCGCCACGTAGGAGCAGGTGTGCATTTGTCAGAGGCTTCTGAGAGTTAGTGCCATTGCACCCTGAGTGTATGGCCAGGGTCCACCCACTGGCAGTGGGGAGCAGCTCTGCAGGAACAAGCTGTGACCGTCCGGTATTCCCACCAACACTTTGGTCCCTGACTTCCTCCTTGGCCTTTTCAGCCCTCTTGCCTACTGCTCCCAGCACCCGCTGGTGCAGCCAGCCACCGACTGGCCTGGACCGCAGCCCCTCACACCTTCATGCCAGGCTGGTGCTGCTGAGGCACACGGCAGAGCAGGTGAGTCTCTCCTGGCCTTGGGGATCCTTGTGTTCATAAGTCCTTCCTGCTCAGGGCAGAGGCAGGGAGGGGCACACGGTAGCCCTGGGGAGGGGTGACCCCAGCTTCTAGGGAGTAAAACTGCAGTTTGCTTAGTGAGCCAATGCTCAGACCTCCTCACTAGGCCAGGTTCTGTGCAAAGCAATTTGCATATGTCATCTCCTGATAACCTATAGTAATAATAATAACAGGCTGGGCCCAGTGGCTCACACCTGTAATCCCAACACTTTGGGAGGTTGAAGCAGGAGGATCACTTGAGCCCAGGAGTTTGAGACCAGCCTGGGCAACATGTTGAGACCCCGTCTCTACAAAATGAAAAACTACAGGACCGGGTGTGTGGCTCACACCTGTAATCCCAGCACTTTGGGAGGCTATGGTGGGAGGAGCACTTGAGCCCAGGAGTTCGTGGCCAGCCTGGGCAACATAGTAAGACCTCGTCTCCACAAAAAAATAGCTGAGCATGGTGGCATGCACGTGTAGTCCCAGCTACTCCGGAGGCTGAGGCGGGAGGATCACTTAAGCCCGGGAGGTAAAGGCCGCAGTGAGCCACAATGGTGCCACTGCACTCCAGGCAACAGAGTGAGACACTGTCTCAAAAAAATAAATATTAAAAATTTAAAGATTAGCTGGGCATGGTGGGGCACATCTGTAGTCCCAGCTATTTGGGAGGCTGAGGTGGGAGGATTGCCTGAGCCCAGCTGGTCGAGGCTACAGGTGTGTTCACACCACTGCACTTCAACTTGAATGACAGAGCAAGACACTTGTCTCAAAGTAAACAAAACAATAATGATAACAGTTGTCATGGATCATTTCCTGTGTGCCAACCTCAGTGCTGAAGGCTTTGTTTATATTTTCTTTCTTATTTAATTATATTTAGAAATAGGGTCTCATGATGTTGCCTAGGCTGGTCTCAAAGTCCTGGGCTCAAGTGATCCTACCCCCTTGGCCTGCGGATTAGCTAGGATTACTGGCATGAGCCATTGTGCCTGGCCTGCTTTGTGTATATTTTAAGCCTTTACCCTCACACAGCCCTACAAGGAAGGGCTACAAGGAATGTTTACAGACAAGGAAACTGAGGCTTAGAGACATGAAGTCATGTGCTCGTAAGTTCCATAGCAAACAAGTAGCTTTGCCAGGATTGAGACTGTGGTCTGTCTCACTCCGTACCTGGGCTCTTTCACGGCCCCTGCTGACTCCCAGAGCCAGGCAGAGTCAGGGACGACGTGGGGAGGGGCCTTAACGAGGGCTGGCTCAGCTAGTGTCCAGGGCTCCACCTTTCTCTCAGCTCAGGGAAGGTGACCGCCCATCCACATCTGCCTTGCAGGACCGCGACTTCTTGGAGAATGAACAGTTCTTTCTGGAGACCCTGAAGAAAGGGTCCTACAATTTGACATCTCATTCAGCCTGAGTGGGATCCCAGCCGATTCCCCAACAGAGGGTTCAGACCCCAGAACTCTCCTGTTCCTCCTGCTGCCTCCATGGAGGCAGTGCCTGGGGAGGATTCTGAGATGCTTGAGGCCTGATGGCAGCTCTTCCGTGGACAGGGTGCAAGTGCATCCTTTCCAAGTGTGCCAGCCCGGGGCAGCCCCTGCCTCTGGGGCTCTGTGGTGTAGGCTGTCTTACTACGGCTTTGGCTGCCCTGCCCCAAAGCCATCTGGCTTGGATCTGAAGGTCTGAGCTGGCAGCGAGGACCCCCAGCTCTCACTGGGCTCTGTGGGCTCCCCCTGTTCCACAGGTAGACTGTTGTGGGCTCTTTTTGCCTGGGCCTCTTCTGAGGCAGGAGCTTTCTTGAGGGATGCCACAAACAGCCTTCCCTACTCCCTGCCAGACCAGTTCCCTCCCTGATGAGCTGGAGAAGGGCCCTCTGGCCTCCTGCCGGTACAGGGAAGGCACCAGCTAGATCCTCCCTTGTGGTGTGAGATGTTCCTGGAACTCAGCCGGGCCCTCCTCCTCCTGGGCTTGCCCAGAGCCCCCACCCTATTCCCAGCATTGCCCGAAGGACCAACCAGTTTGGGTGGACAGTGGCCTCCTCAGCTTCCTCCCCATCTGGGTGCCACCCTGGCGGCAGAGGGAGCTGTGGCGATGGTGGGCCGTGGGGAGGGACGAGGACGGAAGGCGCCTCTGTGCTGCTCATCTGCCCAAAGCCACAGCTCAGGGGGCGTGCAGTGGAGGTGACAAGGAATCCATCACAACTAGCAGAGATTTCTTTGGTCCTCCTCCACTCCCACTGCTTCACTTGACTAAGCTTAAAACAACTGCTTTTGCCATGGCTCATCAGAGTTTATACTTATTTCTTAGAAAATGTTTCCTGTTACTTGCCAGACAAGTCCCAAAGAACAGGCAGATGTTCCTATTAAAAAAGTCAGTCTATAAGATTAGTCAGGACCAGGCACCTCTGGCCACGTGCCTCTCCCCTCCAGCACCTACAGTCTCCAGTGGCACCTGGCAGCTGGACCACAGCCAGGAGAAGGGTACTATTAGCCCTGCTTCAAACATGCAGAAACTGAGGCCCGGGCAGATTAAATAACCTGCCTGAGGTGACAGTGAGTAGCGCCTGGATTTGAGTTCTGCTCTGTCTGATCCCCAAGTCCCAGGCTGTCAGCCACCCCAGTCTCCTACCTCCCAGAGGAGCAGGTTACACTCCTGGTAGGTGCTGGTGTGGGAGGAAGATCTCTTCAGGAGCTTCTGGGGCTGAGGAGGGAAGCATCACACACCCCGTTGGAAGCCTTGGTTAAGTCTCAAATTTGATTCTCCGCAAAAGAGACTCGACCAGTCCTGCGGCAGACCTGTGCAAAGAGCTGGGGGGGGTCTAAGGATGGGCACGTCAGCTCAAGGGCAGCTGGCGTCTAGGCAGCCACCTGCAGGATCTGCAGCTGATCAAGCACACACGTCTGGGAGGGCAGTGCTGAGAGACCCACAGGGGAGAGCATGGCCTTCAAGACAGTAGGGAGAAGAGGTTAGAATGAGAGGGCTTTGCATATCTTGTTAAAGATGTGCAAGTTTTCAGGGCAGATTTGTCCGAGGGCAAATTTTCAGGTCTTCACTAGAAGATTTTAAATAGTTGAACCACATTTGTATTTTAGAAAACCCATTGGCCAGGCACGGTGGCTCACGCCTGTAATCCTAACACTTTGGGAGGCCAACGTGGGTGGATCACTTGAAATCAGGAGTTTGAAACCAACCTGGCCAACATCGTGAAACTCTGTCTCTACTAAAAATACAAAAAAATTAGCTGGGCATGGTGGTGTGTGCCTGTAATCCCAGCTACTTGGGAGGCTGAGGCAGGAGGATCGCTTGAACACAGGAGGCACAGGTTGCAGAGAGCCGAGATTGCACCACTGCACTACAGCCTGGGCGACACAGCAAGACTCCATCTCAAAAAAAAAAAAAAAGACAAAAGAAAACCCATTGTGTCTGCAGAGTGGGGACAGAGAGGATGTGTGAGAAGGCAGCTGGCAATGGTGCAGGGGACAGACTGTGGGCAGGACTGTGCCAGGTACGGCAGGGAGGGCCCACAGAAAAGTGCCCCTCAGACCTGGTGCCAGTCATGGAGGGTCAGAAAGGAAGACGTGTCGAGGAGGACACTCAGGTTCCTGGCATGGGTGACTGGGTGGTGTCACAGATGAGTATACAGTGCCGGGGGGACAGCGAAGCAGAGGCATTCCACAGGCACTCAGTTATAATGGCACTTTACTCAGTGTGAGCGCTCAGCATTCCTGTCACCACCATGAGGGTGTGGCAGGCATCCTAATTACCCCATTCAGCCTTCTCCCAGGCCACAGACACTGGAGAGGGCTGAGTGCAGAAATGAGTGTTGTGTAGCTGCTGCTCTTTCTTTTTCCTTCAAAATTGTAAACAAGATCATAACCCAAGTGCTTCATTCAGTTCCTTTTAGAGAGAGAAATATTGCAGCCGGGCGCGGTGGTCCCAGCATTTTGGGAAGCCAAGGTGGGTGGATTACCTGAGGTCAGGAGTTCGAGACCAGCCCGGCCAATGTGGTGAAACCCTGTCTCTACTGAAAATACAAAAATTACCTGGGCATGGTGGCGTGTGGCCTGTAGTCCCAGCTACTTGGGAGGCTGAGGCAGGAGAATTGCTTGAACCCAGGAGGCAGAGGTTGCAGTGAGCCAAGATTATGTCACTGCCCTCCAGCCTGGGTGACAGAGTGAGATTTTGTCTCCAAAAAAAACAAAAAAAAAAAAGAAAAGAAAAAGAAATATTGGTGGAATGTAATGATTAAAAAATACTGGTGCAGGGGCTGGGCGCGGTGGTTCATGCCTGTAATCCCAGCACTTTGGGAGGCCAAGGTGGGCGGGTCACGAGGTCAGGAGATCGAGACCATCCTGGCTAACACGGTGAAACCCCGTCTCTACTAAATAGACAAAAAATTAGCCGGGCGTGGTGGAGGGCGCCTGTAGTCCCAGCTACTCAGGAGGCTGAGGCAGGAGAATGGCGTGAACCTGGGAAGCGGAGCTTGCAGTGAGCCGAGATCGGGCCACTGCACTCCAGCCTGGGCGACAGAGCAATACTGTCTCAAAAAAGTACTGGTACAGTGGTACACACCTGTAGCTGCTATCGGGAGGCTGAGGTGGAAGGATGGCTTGAGCCCACTATGGGCAACACAGTGACCCCATATATATATATATATATTTTTTTTTTTTTTGAGACAGAGTCTCGCTCTGTCGCCCAGGCTGGAGTGCAGTGGCGCGATCTCAGCTCACTGCAAGCTCCACCTCCCGGGTTCCCGCCATTCTCCTGGCTCAGCCTCCCGAGTAGCTGGGACTACAGGCGCCCACAACCGCGCCCGGCTAATTTTTTGTATTTTTAGTAGAGACGGGGTTTCACCGTAGTCTCGATCTCCTGACCTTGTGATCCGCCCGCCTCGGCCTCCCAAAGTGCTGGGATTACAGGCGTGAGCCACCGTGCCCGGCAACCCCATATTTTTTTTTAAAATGGTAGAGCCACTGTTTCTAGTTTCAAGATATTCATCGTTATTTGCTTCAAGTTGGTACATGTGGGAATCCATGTGAGGCCTCTCTCAAACCGTTAATATCCAAGCAAGCACCATTAAGAGTTCTGGGACAGCTAGAGGACAAGAATGGAGGAATGCATCGCCACCTGGGTGGCCAGCGGCTTTCACGCCAACTGCCGAGGCCCCGTACATCTTCATCTGGAGAGGGTTGGGAGGGTCGTGGGGTAGGACGGGTGGGTTTAGAGGATGAAGAAAAGGATTCAGAAACAAAAGGACAAGGTGGCTGGGCGCGGTGGCTCACACCTGTAATCCCAGCACTTTGGGAAGCCAAGGCAGGCGGGTCACCTGCGGTCAGTAGTTCCAGACCAGCCTGGCCAATATGGTGAAACCCCATCTCTACTAAAAATACAAAAAATTAGCCAGGCGTGGTGGTGTATGCCTGTAATCCCAGCTCCTCAGGAGGCTGAGGCAGGAGAATCACTTGAACCTGGGAGGCAGAGAATGCAGTGAGCCAAGGTCATGCCAATACACTCCAGCCTGGGCAACAGAAACTCCATCTCAAAAAAAAAAAAAAAGGACAAGGTTAAACAGCCACGATGTAAACACACACAATCCAGTTATGCTCCTGTACTGCATAACTGCAGTATGGAATTTTACAATAAGCAACTCCTGACAAGCAGGACTGGGTGTGACTGCCCCCATGCATTCCCCTCCACATTTAGCATGTAGCAGGTGCATACTGCAGGGTGAATTAGAAATGACGGTGAAAGGTTTAGCTGTTTGGCTGCTGTTTATGAAAACCAGTGGAAGGTGGGGCCACTTCCTGCTGGATGGAGAGACCCTCATTCCATTCTCATTCCATCTCAAAGTGATTATGAGGGCCAAGCTTCTGCTGGTGCCAGAGCCACTGGCCTGGTCACCACCAGCCCTGGCCTGGGATGTCAGAGCAGGTTTCCTGGAGAGACCTCTCTCCTGGGGCTGGGTGGTAGCCAGGGCAAGGTGGGGAAGTGAGGAGGTGAGACACAGAAGAGACAGCATGTACAAAGGCCCCATGGCCTCGGGGGGCAAAGTGCGCTGGAAGATTGCCTTTTAGGGCAGGAGGGCCAGGGCTGGGGCAGAGGAGGGTCCCAGATTCCCCAATCTACCAAGTTTTGCCTTTGTAGAACTGGATCACAAGAGCAAGCCTGAGTCCTGCCAGAAACATTCACATCTGCATCTTAACCAGGACACTTCCGCCTTTGTGTGGATAACGGGAAGTTGCAGATAGTTGAGCTAACTGATACGCACCACTGCAAGTGCTTTCCAGAGGGTAATCTTTTCATCCTGACAACTGTCAGGTAAGCACTAGTATTACCTGCTTTTTCCCAAATGAGGAAACCACAAGGGAGACAGTAAGGTCACGATCTGGGTTTTTTTGTTTTTGGGGTTTTTTTTTTTTCCGAGATGGTGTCTCTGTCACCAAGGTGGTGGCGCGATCTTGTCTCACTGCAGCTTCTGCCTCCCAGGTTCAAGCAATTCTTGTGCCTTAGCCTCCTGAGTAACTGGGATTACAGGCATCTGCCACCACGCCTGGCTAATTTGTGTATCATTAGTAGATACAAAAATTTTTGTATCTTTAGGGTTTCGCCATGTTGGTAGGGCTTGTCTCAAACTTCTGACCTCAGGTGATCCACCCACCTCGGCCCCCCAAACTGCTGGGATTACAGGTATGAACCACTGCGCCCGGCCACAATCTGGGTTTTTATTATTATTATTATTTTTTTTTTGAGATGGAGTTTCACTTTTGTCGCCCATGTTGGAGTGCAGTGGCGCGATCTCGACTCACTGCAGCCTCTGCCTCCCAGGTTCAAGCGAGTCTCCTCCCTCAGCCTCCTGAGTAACTGGGATTACAGGCGGCCGCCACGCCCGGCTAATTTTTGTATTTTTAGTAGAGACGGGTTTTCACCGTGTTGACCAGGATGGTATCGATTTCCTGACCTCGTGATCCACCCGCCTCGGCCTCCCAAAGTGCTAGGATTCTAGGCGTGAGCCACTGTGCCCAGCCCTCAATCTGGGTTTTAAACCCAAGCAGACCGAGTCCGGAATCGGAGTTCGCACCCCTTCTCCCAACCAGGCCTGCGCCCCTGGGGAACTCAGTGCACCGCGTCCAGGGGCTGGGGGAGGGCCCCGCCGGCCGACCCCGGTCTGTGCCGCCCCCTGGTGGCCCGCCGTGGGCGAGAGCCTGGCTGCTCTCAGCTCCGCCCCGCCGTCCAACGGGCACTTCCGGAGCCGGGCGCCGGCAGACCGCGGCCACCTCCACCTCCGCCCCAGGCGGACGGTGCAGGGGCCCCCGGGACAGGCGACAGGGTCCGCAGCGCGGGACCCGGGGGCGGGCCTAGGAGCGGGGCCTGGGCGGGGCTGGACGCGGCCTGCCGCGTTGCGCTCAGGCGCCGCGCTGGCCACCTGTGCCCGGGTCCTAGTGGCGGCCGCGATGACGCAGGCCGGAGGGAAGATGGCGGCGCCCTGGTGGCGAGTCGCGATGTGCGGGTGTCGGAGAGGGCGGGCCTTCAGCACCTCGGGTGAGGGGTTTGGGGGTGGGCAGCTCTGTGGGGTGGGGGCGGGCTGTCGCGCGAGCTCTGGGGCGCCGGCCTTACGTCTTCTCTCTGCCCGCAGCCGTTCTCGGCCGCCGGACGCCCCCGCTGGGGCCAATGCCCAACCAGGACATCGACGTGAGCAACCTGGAGCGGCTGGAGAAGTACCGGAGCTTCGACCGCTACCGGCGCCAGGCAGAGCAGGAGGCGAAGGCCCCGCACTGGTGGCGGACCTACTGGGAGCATTTCGGGGAGAAGACAGGTGCGGGGCGACTGGAGCAGGGGCTGCAGCCACCGTCCGGGGAACTCAAGGGGACCCGCCGGCGTTTTCCCCGGGTGCTGGACGAGCCTTGTCAGCGCCCCTGTGGATGCTGGCGAGGATGGGAGGGCCCGCCTGCAGACCTGTGTGCTCTATTGGCAGCTTCATCACGCCGGGATTGTTCACACCTTCTGCGCCTCATTCTTGGAAAATTCGCTCCCCCTACTATTAGAGTTCCAGCTCCTAAAATATCTGCTCCTAAAATCTTGACCATCTGACTTTCTGTATTGGGATGTCGTTCTGTGCACCTAAAATACTCTAGGTAGCTCTGGCCACACTGCATTCTGACTCTGTGCGCTGCCTGTCCCCAGACTGTGAGTGCGCTGTTGACAGGGATCCTGCTTGTCTTGCCCTCCATTGGATCCTTGCACCTGAACAGTGCAAGGATGTACGTGTGCAATACTTTGCTGAATGAAATTAAACCCTGGGCAGGGTGACTCAAAAAAAGAACCCAACCTGGCCGATCGCGGTGGCTCACGCCTGTAATCCCACCACTTTGGGAGGCCGGGGCGGGTGTTTCTTTGATTTCCTGGAAGACACCACCATGACAATTTCAAAGAAAATAGAACAAAATGAAGGAAAAAGAGGCTCCATCTTAGCACATTCCTCGGAGTTTGAGACCAGCCTGAGCAACATAATGAGATCCCATCTCTCAGAAAGGTTTTTTAAATTAGCTACCACGGCTGGGTGCAGTGGCTCACGCCTGTGATCCCAACACTGTGGGAGGCCGAGGCGGGCAGATCACTTGAGCCCAGGAGTTCCAGACCAAAAAAGACCGCAACCTTTTTAAGGAGCTTATAATTTATGGAGTATATGTTGTTGTTTTTAGCATTTATAGAGGCAGTTTTGTGGTGGTTAAAGGCACAAGCATGGAATCTGAATAACCCGATTTAAATCCCAGCTCAGCCTCTCGGGGACAATGTCCCTGAGCTTATTTCAACTGTAAAATAAAATGTGTCTTTGCTACAAAATTACCACGAGGATTAAAAGATACAATTCATTGGCATTTTTGCCTAATGCCATCTCTGATGTGGGCTCAGTATGTTTTCGTTATTAGTTTTCTTTTCTGTTTTTTTTTTTTTTTTTAAGGCGGAGGCTCACTCTGTTTCCCAGGCTGGAGTGCAGTGGTGCGATGGCTCACTGCAACCTCTGCCTCCTGAGTTCAAGAAATTTTCCTGCCTCAGCCTCCAAAGTAGCTGACACTACAGGCATGCGCCACCAGGCCCAGCTAATTTTTGTATTTTTAGTAGAGATGGGGTTTCACCATGTTGCCCAAGCTGGTCTCAAACTCCTGAACTCAAGTGATCCCCCTGCCTCAGCCTCCCAAAGTGTTGGGATTACAGGCATGAGCCACCACACCTGGCCGAGAAGCACTTCTTTAAGTCCTTCTAGCATCAGTCATTCACTCTAGCCAGGACAGCTGGGTGTTCATAGCCACCTGTGAACAGGCTTGGAGGTGATCTCAACTATAATTGGAAGGACCATTGACTTCAATTTCCCATGACTTAGACAAAACTGTGACCTGGTTTGGGGATCAGAAAAACACAATCTCCAGCCTGGCCAATGTGGTGAAATCCTGTCTCTACTAAAAATACGAAAAAAAAATGAGCCGGGCATGGTGGCAGGCGCCTGTAATCCCAGCTACTAAGGAGACTGAGACAGGAGAATTGCTTCAACCCAGGAGGCAGAGGTTGCAGTGAGCCGAGATCGCGCCACTGCACTCCAACCTGGGCGACAGAGGGAGATTCTGTCTCAAAAAAAAAAAACACAACCTCAAGCTGCATCTGATTTGCTTCCCAATTACATCCTGTTCAGGTCTGGGAAGTAGAACAGTATGTTTTAATTCTGTGAATCATGGGGAAAGCTTGAGCAGCAGAGCTTGAAGCACAGAATGAGAGGACTAGGTAGGGACAGACAGTTTAACCAAGAAGATGTGCCTGCCCCCTCACTGGGTGCAGTCGCTTGCACCTGGAATCCCAGCTACTCAGGAGGCTGAGGCAGGAGGATCACTTGAGGCCAGGAGTTTGAGACCAGCCTGAGCAACATAATGAGATCCCATCTCTCAGAAAGATTTTTTAAATTAGCTACCATGGCTGGGTGCAGTGGCTCACGCCTGTGATCCCAACACTGTGGGAGGCCGAGGCGGGCAGATCACTTGAGCCCAGGAGTTCCAGACCAGCCTGGGCAATGTGGCAAAACCCCGTCTCTACAAAAAATGCAAAAATTAGCCAGACAGGAAGGTGTACACTTGTAGCCCCAGCTACTCAGGACACTGAGTCGGGGAGGTTAAGGCTGCAGTGACCTGTGACCCTGTTTTTCCAACACATCTTCCCTCTTCAGATCCCAAAGAGAAGATTGATATTGGGCTGCCTCCACCCAAAGTCTCCCGGACCCAACAGCTACTGGAACGGAAACAGGTCATCCAGAATCTTCGGGCCAACGTAGAAGAGGAGCGGGCTGCCCGCCTCTGCACAGGTAAGCCTTCTCAGGGGAGGCGCCATCCCAGAGTTGGGGTACAGGGTGTGTCCCTGCCCCCCTGTATCCCAACTGTCCTTATTCCTGTCCAGCCAGTGTCCCACTGGATGCCGTGCGGGCCGAGTGGGAGAGGACCTGTGGCCCCTACCATAAGCAGCGTCTAGCTGAATATTACGGCCTCTACCGAGACCTGTTCCACGGTGCCACCTTTGTGCCCCGAGTTCCCCTGCATGTGGCCTACGCTGTGGGTGAGGACGACCTGATACCTGTGTACTGTGGCAATGAGGTGACTCCAACCGAGGTAACTGCTCACCTGTGCCCCTCCTCCCTGCCCTGTGCAAACACAGACACATCCCATCTCAGTGTCACAGATGCTCCTGGGTTTGGAATTTTGTTGTTCTCTGTTTCTTTGATTTCCTGGAAGACAACACCATGACAATTTCAAAGAAAATAGAACAAAATGAAGGAAAAAGAGGCTCCATCTTAGCACATTCCTCTGACTGGCCTGCTGTCTGTGGTGTGCCCTCCTGCCCAGGCCTTGGCACAGTTCTTCTTTGTGGTTGTTGCCTGGACAGGCAACTCTGCAGGGCTCCTTCTCTACGCATCCCTTTGCCTGCCTGCCTGTGCCAGGGGCTGTCAAAGGCATTTGGGTCAGAGTGGGCACCCCTTTCTCCAGGGCTCCCTGCAACAGCTGGTCTGTCCCTGGTGGGGCTGACAGCTTCCTTCTCTCCCTGCCAGGCTGCCCAAGCACCAGAGGTGACCTATGAGGCCGAAGAGAGCTCCTTGTGGACGTTGCTACTCACTAGCTTGGGTGGGTGTCTGGGGTTCACCAAGCCCCCTGCCCCGCTCACCTCCCATCAGCCAGGGCCCTGGGGAGCTGGGGGAGGGGCCAGGTGGAGCTCTCCACCGCTGGCTCCTAACAAGGGAGGGGGTGGCAGGGCCGTGGTCGGCAGGGCGGTGATCAGCAGGTGTGTTTTTGTGCAGATGGGCACCTGCTGGAGCCGGATGCTGAGTACCTCCACTGGCTGCTGTGAGTACGGGGGGTAGGGGGGTGCTGCCCAGGCGGGAGGAGGACCTGGGAGCCTGGACCGAGCTGGTCCTGAGTGTCATAGACTACCCATGGGACTTGAATTCACCTCCTGCCTCAGGAGGTGACCCCCGCCTCTACCTCCTGAGGGTGTTAGGGGCCCTGGGATCCCTGTGTCTACTTGAAGACAGCTACAGGAGACAAAGTTTTCAGTGGCCTCGGTCAGTCCCCACAAGCCTCCTCATCTTTTCTTTTTTCTTTTTTTTTTTTTTTTTTTTTGAAACAGGGTGTCACTCTGTCCCCCAGGCTGGAGTACAGTGGTGCAATCATGGCTAATTGCAGCCTCTAACTCCTGGACTCAGGTGCTCCTCCCACCTCAGTCTCCTGAGTAGCTGGGACTACATGTGCAAGCCACTACACCCAGCTAATTTTTGTTTTTTTAATACAGACAGGGTTTCACCATGTTGCCCAGGCTGGTCTGAGCTCAAGCGATCTGCCCACCTCCGCCTCCCAAAGTGCTAGGATTACAAGCATGAGCCACCATGCCTGGCCCCTTCGTCTCTCTAAACTCATTTCTTCACCTGTAAAACTGGGATAATGGCACCACGTGCCTTACTCAACCTGACCTGTGGACTGTGATGGTCCCATGAGAGAAGGAGCAGGACAGGCCTGGCAGCTGTGGCATCTCCCAAGTGCTCCTTGAACCACTGGGCACTCCTTCCCTGGGCCCAGATGAGGCTGCCTTCTATCTTCTCGGTAGCTTTTGGCTCTGAACACCAGGCCAGGGAGCAGAAGTCAGGCCAGTGACCCCAACTTTGAGCCTTCTGGTTAATTGGGGACAGTGACTGGGAGGCTGGTTTCTGTCATTTTTATTCAACTGCAGTTACCAACCTGTGCAGCAGGACCCTCTGGGGAGTCGTGCCTGAGGCATTGGCCGTCCCTGTGCCAGGCTGGGCACACAATCCCCGACGAGGTCCTGGAGACTTCAGGACGCAGAGGGAAAAGCAGCCAAAAGTGGCATGGCTTTCTAGTCTCAGTGACTGTGGCTGGCCCCCTGGCTCCTGGGCCTGGAAGCAGGCTGCATGGCCTTGCTGTCAAGGTGACGCTCTCTGGAGCCCTGTCCCCCACTCAGAGCTCCTCCAGCCCGCTTCCCATGTTTGCAGTATGTCCAGGCATTCACAGAGCTTGGCTGCCTCCTCTGTCCTAGGAAACAGAATGTTTAGAGTTGTCCTCTCAGGGAGTCACGTCAGCATCTACGGTGTGTGTGGAGCTGAGGGGACCCTCCTGCTGCCTCCCTGGAGTGGTTATTAATGGAGACTTTCCTCCTCCCAGAACCAACATCCCGGGTAACCGGGTGGCTGAAGGACAGGTGACGTGTCCCTACCTCCCCCCCTTCCCTGCCCGAGGCTCCGGCATCCACCGTCTTGCCTTCCTGCTCTTCAAGCAGGACCAGCCGATTGACTTCTCCGAGGACGCACGCCCCTCACCCTGGTAATCTACACCCCCAACACATAACCTGGCCTCAGGCCAGCTCCCCTGCAATGGTCACTCTTGCTCAGTTCTCTCCGACCTCAGCCTTGAGGCTGGCAGAAGAGCAGAACAGGGTGCTAGCAGCGTCCCGGGGCCTCTCAGGGTTGCCTGTGGGGTGGAGGGGTGAGGGCTCTGGTGCCCACTCTCCGCTCTCACATGCTCTCCATCTTACAGCTATCAGCTGGCCCAGCGGACCTTCCGCACTTTTGATTTCTACAAGAAACACCAAGAAGCCATGACTCCAGCCGGCTTGTCCTTCTTCCAGTGCCGCTGGGATGACTCCGTCACCCACATCTTCCACCAGCTTCTGGGTAAGGGCCATGGGGCTGGGGCACTGGGTGGGCCTGAGCTCCCAGGCCTCGCCTGCCCTGCCAGGGAGAAGCTTTGTTAGGGGAAGGCTGCGGCAGGCTCCTGGTGGGCAGGCCTCAGCCTGAGGGGGCGCAGGCCACAGGAGACCACCCCTGTGCCCCTCGCTCTTCTTGCAGACATGCGGGAGCCGGTGTTTGAGTTCGTGCGGCCGCCCCCTTACCACCCCAAGCAGAAGCGGTTCCCCCACCGGCAGCCCCTGCGCTACCTGGACCGGTACAGGGACAGTCATGAGCCCACCTATGGCATCTACTAGGAGCCAGAGTGTGCCCACTTCAGAGCATGGGATTGATCGGCAGCAGGAGTAAAGACAGCTCCAGAGGCCTACGCTGTGGGGTCTGGGCCCTGCCTTAGGCAGCCCCTCTGTGGCCCCTCCCATCAGGCCCAGGGCTTGCAGTGAAAGGGACTCTCAGGTGGTGGCGTGGGGGATGTGAATAAAGATGATTTCTTGCCAGGCTTGGTGGCTCATGCCTGTAATCCCAACACTGGGAGGCTGAGGAGGGAGGATCGCTTGAGCCCAGGAGTTCAAGACCAGCCTGGGCAACATAATGAAACCCTGCCTCTATTAAAAAAAAAAAAAAAAGATGATTTCTGCCATAGCTGGCCTGGTTCGGTGTTCCAGGGCCAGAGGACCCCGATGGAGCTGTACTCATGGGTGGGAAAGGGGCTGCCTCCCACCCCACCAGGTGCACCCTGACCTCCATCTTCTGAGGGTGTTGGGGACCCTGGGATCCGAAGCAAAAGCAGGCAGTGGGCCAAAAACAGGTGTGGCCCCAGGGAGACGGACATCCCAATCCAGCAGGTGCCTGAAACCCAGCTCCCCGAAAAAGTGGAGCAGAGCAGCTGGGCTCAGGAGGGAGCATTTATTGAGCACTGGCTGTGTGCCCCAGGGGGTCCCACCGGCCCCTGGAGAGAGAGTGCCTGCCCCAGCACTGACCCTCTACACAGACTCCCGCCCCCACCCCATGCTTGGGAGGAGAAGCCACATTAGGTAGGTAACAGCGTGACTCAAGAGACCTGCTCAGGGTCAGAAAGCCCATGGAGCCTGCGGCTGGACGGTTAGGTGTTTTGTTTCTCCCTTACCAAAAGCAGAAGTCTGGCTAACTAGTAGGTGGAGGGTAGATCCGTGCACTTTTTCCAGAAACTTCGCCGGTGGCCGCACACAGGACGCAGCGCTTGCTGCAGCAGTGAGAGCTCGTGCCGCCGCAACATCAGCCGAGCTTGGTTAGATAGAAAGGCCTTGCTCTCCTGGGGTTCCCCCTGGCCTGACACACACTGCCAGGGAAGTGGGCGCTAGGCCCCAGACCCGCCTTGCCTGCTCAGTTGCAGGGGAAATGCTGGAGTGCCTCGAAATACTGAGGCTGCAGATCAGCTCGGACCCCAGGCAAGAAACTCCCCAGCAGAGGGCAGCAGGGAGACGGGATGCTGATTGCAGCTGAAAGCTGGGTTTGTGTACTCATTCAAGGGCCATTTGAAAAATACCAGTTAACTGGTCCCTGTCTGTTGGTGACCAGACATTTCCATCTCGCTGTTTACTTTAAAATAACCAAAATTACGTGTAGCCCAGAGAAGGAAGACACCCCAGTCTGGCAAGTGCCCGAAACCCAGCTCCAGGAAAAAGTGCAGCAGTGCTCGGGTCTGCAGGGAGCCCGCCAGCCCACGTGCACTGACTTTCGTTTCATCGCCGAGCCCCGGGGGATTGCGCGGGTGGTCTATGCCGTTAGGCCATTGACAGATGAGTCCAGAAGAGGTTCCGCGCGACCCGTGGTCAGAAGCCCGGAGGCGGGGCGGGATTTTCGAGCCTCTGGTCTCCAGGACCTGGGCTGAAGGCCCACGGGGGTGGGATGGACCCGCCAGGCTAGGACCCGAGAGAGCCGAACCCAGCTCTCAGCCGGGGTGGCGCGGTGCCTAGAGGGAGGGAGGGGCGCAAAGCCGGAACGCAGAGCCTTCGAACGGCCCAGGCCGAGGCGGGCAGGGGTGGCCTACGCCCCTGCGGAGGTCGCTGGTCGAAGGTGTTGGAGAAGGGCCCGGCTTCCGGGGCGGGGACCTTCCTCGCCCCGCCCCGCGTTAGCCACGCCCAGACGCCCTCAGTACGCGAGGCCGGTTGTCCCTTTAAGAATTCCGGGGCCCGCCTGGCTCTCACCGCCGGCGGGCCATGGCCGCGCAGCTACTGGAGGAGAAGCTGACCTGCGCCATCTGCCTGGGACTCTACCAGGACCCAGTGACGCTGCCCTGCGGCCACAACTTCTGCGGAGCCTGCATCCGGGACTGGTGGGACCGCTGCGGGAAGGCGTGCCCCGAGTGCCGGGAGCCCTTCCCCGACGGCGCCGAGCTGCGCCGCAACGTAGCCCTCAGTGGCGTGCTGGAGGTGGTGCACGCCGGGCCCGCCCGGGACCCCGGCCCCGACCCCGACCCCGGCCCCGGCCCCGGCCCCGGCCCCGGCCCTGCCGCGCGCTGCCCCCGCCATGGGCGGCCAATGGAGCTCTTCTGCCGTACCGAGGGCCGCTGCGTATGCAGCGTGTGCACCGTGCACGAATGTCGCCTCCACGAGCGGGCGCTGCTGGACGCCGAGCGCCTCAAGCGCGAGGTGACGCGTCCGCCGGGAGCAGGAGGGGGCCGGACCCGCCGCGGCCTGGCCACCGCAGGATGACTCCTGCGGGCCGCGCCCTGCGCTCTCCGAGCACCCGGTGGGGGAGGGGAGCCTCAACTGGAGGGGGCTTCGCCCAACCTGGGAGTTGATTATAAAAATCGCGGGTCTGCCAGGCGCGGTGGCTCACGCCTGTAATCCCCGCAGTTTGGGAGCCGAGGCGGGCGGATCACGAGGTCAGGAGATCGAGACCATCCTGCCTAACACGGTGAAACCCCGTCTCTACTAAAAATACAAAAAATTAGCCGGGCGTGGTGGCGGACGCCTGTAGTCCCAGCTACTCGGGAGGCCGAGGCAGGAGAATGGCGTGAACCCGGGAGGCGGAGCTTGCAGTGAGCCGAGATCGTGCCACTGCACTCCAGTCTGGGCGACAGAGCGAGACTCCGTCTCAAAATGAAAAAAAAAAATCTCGCATCTGTGCATCGGACTGGGATGTGCAGCCCGGCCAGTGCCGCAGGGTGGGTCTCAGGAGCTACTGGATGCCTTCCGGATGAAAAAAGCCTGGGCATGAGGCAGCAGCTTCCTGCTCCGTGCCCAGGCGCTAGAGAACAGTCGTGTGTCTGCTTTAATTCGCTGTGCGGGGTGGGGGTGGAGGGGTGAGGGGGTATGGGGGCTGTTGGTAAATGGATAGACGAGCTCCCTGCCCTTAAGAGACTTAGAATCCACTTAAGAAGTCAGTGTTCCAGTAAGGCCTGAATGTATTCTTGCAAAATGCAGTGAGGAAAGTAGGTAGCACGTGATGGAGGTATCGGGGTGACCCTGCTAAACAGGCCAGGAGGAGGAAGGGGAGGCCGCCTTCAGGCTGGCATGTGAGGGCTGAGGAAGCACCAGCCGGGAGGAGGAAGACCTGGGGAAGAGCATTCTAGGCAGAGGAATCAGCCTGCTTCCCTCTCTGGGATGGGAAAGAACTGGGCACGCGGGGTGGCTAGTGGCAGATTTGTGCCACTGAGATATGTGGGCCAGGCCCGGGGGTCAGCAGGCACCAGATCGGGCAGGGTCCTGGGGGAGCCTGTCTCTTACTCTAGGGTCATGGGAGCCATTGTAGGCTTGGAAGCAGGGTGGCACTGATCAGATTTGGGCTTCGTGGAGACTGATCACCTGGCTGGGGGCTGAAGGGGGCAGGACGCAAGACCTGAATAGGGTAGGAGCCCAGGGCAGGAGTGCAGGGAGGCAAGGAACCATTTGGAGGGCAGGGAAAGGAGACCAGGATGGAGGAGGAGATGAGAAACGCTGAGGGGGAGCAGTGCCTTGTGGAGGCGAAAGCAGGCCAGAGGGGACATGGGGGACAGCAGAGAGGGCAGCAAGGGAGACACCTGGGTTTCTGTCTTGAGCACGCAGGTGGCTGGGGTCTGTGTGCTGAGAGACATAGGTGGAGGGCAGAGTTTGGCCTTGGACGTATAGAGGTCACAGTCACCAGTGGGACAAACCAGGGGACGGGTCTGTGGCACCTGGGACCCTGACCCTGCCGCGCGCTGCCCCCGCCACGGGCAGCCGCTGGAGCTCTTCTGCCAGACCGAGAGCTGGTGTGTGTGCAGCGTGTGCACCATGCGCGAGTGTCGCCTCCACAAGCAGGCGCTGCCGCCGGGAGTGGGAGGGGGCCAGACCCACGGCAGCCTGGCCACCACCAGGCGCAGTGGCTCACACCTGTGATCCCAGCACTTCGGGAGCCGAGGTGGGCGGATCACGAGGTCAGGAGAATGAGACCATCCTGGCTAACACAGTGAAACCCCGTCTCTACTAAAAATACAAAAAATTAGCTGGGCCTGGTGGCGGGCGCCTGTAGTCCCAGCTACTGGGGTGGCTGAGGCAGCAGAATGGCATGAACCCGGGAGGCGGAGCTTGCAGTGAGCTCCAAAGCTCAGGAGTGGAGAGCTGGGAGTCATTAGTGCTGGGAGTCATTAGTGCTAGGAGGGAGAGAGGGTTCCAAGCTGGAGCTCCCAGGAAGATGGGGAACGTTGGGGGAGCGGCAGCCCTGTGTGGCACCTGGAGATAGGTGCCAGGAAGAGAACAGGCAGGGTGCGCATGCCAATCGGAGGCTCAGTAGGACAGAAATGACCTTCAGCACGGCCCTTGACAAAACCCATTTCAGCAGTGAAGACGGGACGTGGAATCATCTGGGGACAGGAGGGCTGGGGCTAAGGCATGGGTGGAGGATGGCGCAGGGACGCTGGATGGAACAAGAAGGGAAGGGGTGGCTAGGAGGCCTGATGGGCAGGGAGGGATGGGGGTTGCACGGCTGGGGGTCAGCGAGGTGGGAGGACTGGGACAGAGGTGGCTGGAACAGGAGAGGGCAGGAAGGTGGTGGTCAGAGAAGGAAGAATGGGTGCCTAGAATGGAGATTTTAGAGCTGGTGACAGGGCCAGGGTGAGTTCACGGGACCTCTGAGATGAGGTGAAGGAAAAGGGCTCCAGAGTGTTGCAGGACATTCCTTGTAGCTGCTGAAGCCACCGAGTAGGATGAGACAAGATGTACTGCTCAACAGCGGGTGCAGAAGACTGAGCTAGGCATGGAAGTTTAAGTTGGAGGCCAGTAGAGGGCCATGTGGAGGAAGGGAGCAACAGGGGCAGCCAGTAGCACCAGGGGAGCCAGGATTTTGCAAGAGAGAGGGAAAGGGACATGGGGGTGCCTGTCCCTGGGGGAGGGCGGGTACCCTGGGAGAGCCTGCCTTCCTGCCTCCTGTGTTCCTGTGTTAAATGCTGGAGGCTGGGGGCCTGGCGGAGCTCTGGGCTTAGGAAGATCTGAGGACGTTGACCAAATTGTCAACCTCTCTGAGCCGTTTCCTCCTCTGTGATGTGGGGATAGTAACAGTCCCCATCTCAGTGCATTGTGGGAAAAGCGGAAACAAGATGGTGAAGCTTTTGACCAGTTGCTGGGAATGGGGCCCCCGGGACCTGCATGGTTCGTCCCTCTCTCATGAGAGCGTGGTGTTTTGATTCCCAAGGGACTCAGGGAGCATAACCAAATAAGGGTCCCTTCCTCCCCCCTCAGGCTCAAAGCTAGGGCCAGGGACTGGCCGGATCCCCAGAAGAATCTAGTTTATCCATGCAAATAACTGCCCACTTCTCAGACAGCTTTGGTGCTTTGGATGGTCCCTGCAGTCAACTTCTTAAGCCCCAGGGCTTCCTGGACCACTGACCCCTCTGCAGTGAGACAGGGACCAACAGCTTTAGTATTTGGGGTCATCCCTGCAAGGCCTGAGCCAGCATTATCACTTTCATGTATTGATGGGTAGGGGGTTAGGTCCAGAGAGGGCAGGTGCTTTGCCTCAGCTTGCTCAGCATGCAAGAGGTACAAATGGCAATGGAAGTTGGGTCCTGAGCCCAAGGCTTCTGCTCTGCTCAGGTACCACCCTGCTACAGGTTATGAAAGACTTTGTCCGGACCCGCCGGGGCACGGCCCCCACTCTCCCTGGGTTAGAGTGAGGCCTATGCTCCGGAGGCTGGCCTGGGTGGCGTGGGGAGGGGCTGCCTGGTGTCTGCAGGCATGGTTGGTTGTCTGAGAAAGGGTGTCACACCAATCCTGGCCCTCTCTTGTTGCTTGTCCCATGGGCGGCCACCACAGGCCCAGCTGAGAGCCAGCCTGGAGGTTACCCAGCAGCAGGCCACCCAGGCCGAAGGCCAGCTACTAGAGCTGCAGAAGCAAAGAAGCCAGATCCAGGTATGAGGGCTGTGCCTGCCCGCCCACCATGGCCTCACACTGCATCCTGGGGACGGTCACCAGCTGGTCCCTGGAACACCGGGTAGCAGGGAGTGTGGCTGAGCAGGGAGCTAGGCACAGGGGTCCTGGGGAGGTTCCCAGGACCCTGCCTCCCAACATCCCTGACCCTCAGCCCAGCGGGCGGCCCTAGCCCTAGCCTACCTTGGTATGGCACAGGGCCCTGGCCACCCTGAAGCCCCTCCTGTTCCCACCCAGAACTCAGCCTGCATCTTGGCCTCCTGGGTCTCCGGCAAGTTCAGCAGCCTGCTACAGGCCCTGGAAATGCAGCACACAGCAGCACTGAGGAGCATCGACGTGGCCAAGACGCGGGTGCTGGCACAGGCTCGAGATGAGGAGCAGCGGCTGCGGGGCCACTTGGAGGCTGTGGCTCGCCATGGCTGCAGGATCCAGGAGCTTCTGGAGCAGGTGGATGAGCAGACCTTCCTGCAGGTATGAGGGCTCAGGCACAGGTGGGGGACTTGCTTCCCTGCCCCTTAGGCCCGGGCTTACTTGTTCTCCCTGGGGCTCAGGAATCACAGCTCCTCCAGCCCCCAGGGCCTCTTGGGCCACTGACCCCTCTGCAGTGGGATGAAGACCAACAGCTGGGCGACCTGAAGCAGTTGCTAAGCCGGCTGTGTGGCCTCCTCTTGGAAGAGGGGGGCCACCCCGGGGCACCAGCCAAGCCGGTGGACTTAGGCCCCATGGGTAAGACTGACCCCAGGCCCCTACTACTGCCCTGGGCCCAGCTGCCGCTCCCGCTGTGGGGCAGAGGGGGGTCAGGGCCCACACATCATGACCTCTCCAACCATTCTCCTAATGCTGCTTTGCCCCCTAGAGGCCCCAGGTCCCCTGGCACCGGTCCCAAGCACAGTTTGTCCACTGAGGAGGAAACTCTGGCAGAGTAAGGAGGCCATTTGTGTATGTGTGCAACTGTGTGTGCGTGTGCAACTGTGTGTGCGTGTGCAAGGAGGTGCCTGTGCTGTGAACAAGTGTGTGCACACACATGTTTGTATGCACATGTGAGTGAGGGGGGCACGTGTTGTGACTGTCCTGCCGGGACATCTGAGCCTGGCCCTACCCCCTGCACACCTCGTGCACATCCACCCTGAAGCAGAGGCAGCCAGTGTTCATTGAAGGACAGAGTCTGGGGCACAGACCCGCGATTCTTCCGCTTAATACTGAGTTAATGGATCTGGGAGCCCCAGTTTTCTCAGCTGTGAACAGGGCTGATAGAGGATTCCGCCTGCGAGGTCATGGCGAGGATTAAGTGTTGTGGTGGCTGCTGGTGCTCAGCATGCCTGGCGGAGGTTTAGCAGCGGATAAATGGAGATCCAGTTGTGCTGTCTTCCCCTAGCCCACTTCTGTCCTCCTTTCCCCAACAGATTATCGCAATCTGACCTTTGATCCAATCAGCGCCAACCGTCACTTCTATCTGTCGCGCCAGGACCAGCAGGTGAAGCACTGCCGTCAGTCCCAGGGCCCAGGCAGGCCCGGCAGATTCGAGCTCTGGCAGGTGCAGTGTACCCAGAGTTTCCAGGCCGGGCACCACTACTGGGAGGTGCGCGCGTCAGACCACTCAGTGACACTGGGTGTCTCCTACCCGCAACTGTCACGGTGCAGGGTGGGGCCCCACACAGACAACATTGGCCGGGGACCCTGCTCCTGGGGGCTCTGCGTCCAGGGGGACAGCCTCCAGGCCTGGCACAACGGGCAGGCCCAGCGCCTCCCAGGGGTGTCAGGGCGGCTCCTGGGCATGGATTTGGACCTGGCCTCAGGCTGCCTCACCTTCTACAGCCTGGAGCCCCAGACCCAGCCCCTGTACACCTTCCACGCCCCCTTCAACCAGCCCCTCACCCCCGTCTTCTGGCTCCTTGAGGGTAGGACCCTGACCCTGTGCCATCAGCCAGGGGCTGTGTTCCCTCCGGGGCCCCAGGAAGGGGTGCTCAGCTGAAGAAGGCATGGGATGGAGCCCTGGCATAGCTGCCACCATGCCTGCGTGCCCAAGAGCTGCCCACCTCCAGCTCGGAGACTGGAGGACCAGCTGTTGGCCTCTCTGTTAACTCAGAAAGAGACTGGAGGTGGGGGTAGGTGAGCATAAACCCAGCGTTCACTGTTCCAGCCTCTTTGAAGGGGACACGGTCTAGGAGGGGGATAAATGGGATGCCCTTGCCCCAAACAGAACCCAGTTCTAGGTACTGCCTGGGCCTGGGAGGCTAGAGCAGTGCCCAGGGGACTTCTGGGCTTACAGGACAGCATGTGTGACAAAATTCAGATCCACCTGAACTTGCCTCTGGAGATGATAAGGGCCAAAGGAGCAGTTAGTGAGGGGCGGTGAGCCAGAGTAGTCCCGGGGCCGACAGATTCCTCCCTCTGTCCCGCCTGCAGCTCTCTTTAATTTTTTGTAACATTTGGATAGACGTCCGTCCTGTCTTGTAGTCTTTTTATTTTGTGCATCCTTATAATTATATTAACAATTTTGTTTTCTGCATTTAAACATTTTTTTTTTTAGGAGACGGTCTTGCTATGTCACTCAGGCTGGCGTACAGTGGCACAATCGTGGCTCACTGCAGCCTCGAGCTCCTGAGCTCAAAGGGTCCTCCCACCTCAGCTTCCGAAGTAGCTGAGATTACAGTGTTTTCTGAAGTTTTTTGACTTAACATAAGCATTTTTCACATGATTGAAAATTATCACTGATTGCTGTAGTCATTCTAATGGCTATCAAGTTTATCCATTATTGGACATTTAATTTGCTTTCTTTTTAGCTATACAAACATCGATGTGTTTTTTTTGAGACAGGGTCTCCCTCTGTCACCCAGGCTGGTGTGCAGGGGTGCCATCATGGGCTCATGGGATTCTCCTACCTCAGCCTCCTGAGTAGCTGGAATTATAGGTGTGTGCCACCACGCCTGGCTTATGATGAATATTTCTGCGCAGGATGCTTGGCCGCATTTATGGTCATGTATGTAGGCTGTTACCTCAAGTGAGTCACTCAGGGAACAATGAGCACTTGAAGATTTTTTTTATTCAAAAGGCCACAGTGAGGCCACCTTGAGTCCGGCCGACTAAGGCCCCTCAACCCTGTCACCAAGCAGCGCGTGACACCGGCAGGACCTCCGTCTCCAGCATCCCACCCCTGGGTGTGGGACTTTGGGGCAGCCGTGTGTGCAGGTGCCGGCGCAGGCTAGCTCCTCCTGGCTTGGTGTGGTGTTTGCCATTACAGAACATGCTGCCACGAAGAGCCCTGGGCATGATTTTGCTTGTACTTCCGGAAGTGGGGTTGCTGGGTCATCGGGTAGATGTAATTTGTTTTACTTGAAATGTTCCACTTCTTGTTCTGGGAGGTGGTTCCAAGGGTGTCTGCTTTTGGCCAGGCGCGGCGGCTCACGCTGGTAATCCCAGCACTTTGGGAGGCCGAGGCGGGCGGATCACAAGGTCAGGAGTTCGAGTTCAGCCTGGCCAACATGGCAAAACCCCGTCTCTACTAAAAATAGCAAAAATTAGCCGGGCGTGGTGGTGTGCGCCTGTAATCCCTCCTGGGGAGGCTGAGGCAGGAGAATTGCTTGAACCCGGGAGGTGAGGTTGCAGTGAACCGAGACTGCACCACTGCACTACAGCCTGGGTGACAGAACGAGACTCCATAAAAAAAAAAAAAAAAGGGGGAGGGGTGTCTGCTTTTGTAACTTTAAAAACTGGACATCTGTGTTATATGTACTCATGGATAAATATTTCACAATAAAAATTTTTTAAAGGATAATACATGTAATATACATACCCCAATATATATAATGTTTTTATATTTGTTAAAAAAAAAACAAAACCTCCCACGACAACCCCATCCCAATCACTGCCACCATTGCAGCCTCCATCTTGTGTCCCTGCTCCTAGCCTGTGGCTGTTTGTTCAAGAGCAGGGCAGGGACTTGGATTGGCACGGCCCAGGTAAGGCCTTTCCAGGAAGATCCTCAGATGGGAGCTCCCCAGACATGGGAAGGGAATCTGACATGTGGAGCCACACAGCCAGGAGGCGGGCAGGACCTTGCTGGCCAGCTAGGGGCAGCAGTGGGAGCTGAAAGCCTAGCTAGGCAGGATGTATGGGCCTGGCCAGATAGCTGTCATTGCTGTCCCCACCTCATATTCCCTCCTAATCCAAGGCTGCAGCAGAAGCTTCCAGAGGGCTGAGCCGCACTCTGAGAGGGGCAGAGAGAGGAAGAGTGGCCCCCTGTCTGCTTCTGAGGTGGGAGGTGTTTGGGGTCATTTATTATATGAAATTCTTCTTCCTATTGGGTGGTGGTTCTTTCTATATTCTGTGGGCGTGTTCTGTATTATAAATATTAACCCCTTTTTCTTTCTTTCTTTCTTTTTTTTTGAGACGGAGTCTCGCTCTGTCCCCCAGGCTGGAGTGCAGTGGCGCGATCTCAGCTCACGGCAACCTCCACCTCCCGGGTTCAAGCGATCTTCCTGCCTCAGCCTCCTGAGTAGCTGGGATTATAGGTGCACGCCACCACGCCCAACTAATTTTTGTATTTTTAGTAAAGTTGGGGTTTCACCATGTTGGTCAGGCTGGTCTCAAACTCTGGACCTCGTGATCCACCTGCCTCGGCCTCCCAAAGTGCTGGGATTACAGGCAGGAGTCACCATGTCCAGCCCCGCCTTTTTTTTCTAATGGACAGCCTCCCGGGCCAATGTAGGCTCAGAGACTCCCACTCTATTTCTTCTTCGGTTTTTTTTGTTTGTTTGTTTTGTTTTGTTTTTTGAGACGGAGCCTTACTCTGTCACCCAGGCTAGAGTGCAGTGGTACAGTCTTGGCTCACTGCAACCTCTGCCTCCCGGGTTTCAGTGATTCTCCTGCCTCAGCCTCCAGAATAGCTAGGACTATAGGCACCCACCTGTAATGCCCAGCTACTTTGTTTTTTGTTTTGTTTTTGAGACAGAGTTGCACTCTGTTGCCCAGGCTGGAGTGCAGTGGAGCGATCTCAGCTCAGTGCAACCTCTGCCTTCCACATTCAAGTGATTCTCCTGCCTCAGCCTCCCAAGTAGCTTGGATTATAGGCGCCCACCACCACACCCAGCTAGTTTTTGTATTTTTAGTGGAGTCATGGTTTCACCAGTTTGGCCAGGCTGGTCTCAAACTCCTGACCTCATGCCCGCCTGAGCCTCCCAAAGGGATCCACGCCTGGTATTGCAGGCGTGAGCCATTGCTTTTTTTTTTTTCTTTTTTCTTTCTTTCTTTTTTTTTTTTTTAAAGAGATGGGGCCTCACTCTGTCACCCAGGCTGCAGTGCAAGGGCGGGATACAACCTCCGCCTCCTGGGCTCAAGTGATCCTCCTCCTGCCTCAGCCTCCTGAGTAGCTGGAACTACAGTCGCATACCACTTCACCCAGCTAATTTTTTAATTTTTTTGTGGAGAACGGTTCTCACTGTGTTGCCCAGGCTGGTCCTGAACTCCTGGCTTCAAGCGATCCATGCTCAGCCAGCCTAACTTATTCTGAGAGAACTCTCCATGTCCTCTCCAGGAAAATGCACACTGGTATCGAGGGAAAAGGCAGCACAGAGTTGGGATGTGACATTTGGAAAGGGGACACGTTTGATTAGCTTGTGGGTGTTTCCAGCGTGTCTGGCCCACCCACCAGACCCCCTTACAGATTCTGGGCTTCAGTTATGCACAATCAGGTGGATGGTCACCCAGAGACAGAACAAGGGCAGGAGAGATTGTGAAAGACAGGGACCTCAAGAGCCAGCAGGATTGGAGGGAGTTGGATGGGAGGCCAGAGAGGTGTATTAGTCTGTTTTCGTGCTGCTAATAAAGATGTACCTGAGACTGGGCAATTTATAAAGGAAAACGGTGTGGGTTTTTTTTTGTTTTTTTTTAAACGGAGTCTCGCTCTGTTGCCCAGGCTGGAGTGCAGTGGCGTGATCTTGGCTCACTGCCAGCTCCAGCTCCCAGGTTCGTGCCATTCTCCTGCCTCAGCCTCTGAGTAGCTGGGACTACAGGCGCCCGCCACCACATCCAGCTAATTTTTTGTATTTTTAGTAGAGACGGGGTTTTACCGTGTTAGCCAGGATGATCTTGATCTCCTGACCTCGTGATCCGCCCGCCTCAGCCTCCCAAAGTGCTGGGATTACAGGCGTAAGCCACAGTGCCTGGCCTATTTATTATTTTTTGAGATGGAGTCTCACCCTGTCACCCAGGCTGGAGTGCAGTGGCCCAGTCTCGGCTCACTGCAACCTCTGCCTCCTGGGTTCAAGCAATTCTCCTGCCTCAGCATCCTGAGTAGCTGGGACTACAGACATCACTACCACGCCCAGCTAATTTTTGTATTTTTAGTAGACATAGGGTTTTGCCATGTTCCCAGTCTCAAATTCCCAGTCTCAGATGAGCCACCGCACCTGCCCTGTTTACTTTTTAAGTAATATAAATATATTCATTTGACATTCATACAAACCAACTGTTTAAAAATACATAAAAAGCCGGGCACGGTGGCTCACGCCTGTAATCCCAGCACTTTGGGAGGGCTGGAGGTAGGTGGATCACGAGGTCAAGGAGATCAAGACCATCCTGGCTAACACAGTGAAACCCCTCCTACTAAAAATACAAAAAAATTAGCCGGCGTGGTGGCGGGCGCCTGTAGTTCTCCCAGCGAACTCGGGAGGCTTGAGGCAGGACAACAGGTGTGAACCAGGGGAGGCAGAGCTTGCCCAGTGACCCGAGATCAACACGCCACTACACTCCAGCCTGGGCGAACAGAGCGAGACTCTGTCTCAAAAAATAATAAATCAAATTTTAAAAATTGTTCAGAGAACAAGTGAGGAAAAAAGACAATGAAACAAACAAAACAAACCAAAAAACTTTTTAACTCAAAACAAAACAAAAAAGTACATCAAAGCATAAAGAAGTCCAGGCGCGGTGGCCATGCACTGTGTCCCCAGCCAATTTGGGGAGGCCAGATCACCCTGAGGTCAGGAGTTCAAAGCCAGCCTGCGCCCAACAATGGTGAAGCCCCCTCCTCTACTAAAAATACAAAAACTAGTTTGGGCGTGGGTAAGTGCAATGCCTATAGTCCCCAGCCTTGCTCTGGAGGCTGAGGCACGAGGAATGGCTGAACCCAGGAGGCAGGTGTTGCCAGTGAGCCCCGAGGATCGAACCAGTGCACTCCAGCCCTGCGGAAAGAAAGAGTGAGACCTCTGTCCTCAAAAAAAAAAAAAAAAAAAGGGCCGGGTGCGGTGGCTTCAAATCCTGTAATCCCAGCACTTTTGGGGGCCGAGACGGGGCGGATCACAAGGTCAGGAGATCGAGAACCATCCCTGGCTAACCCCGTGAAACCCCGTCTCTACCTAAAAAATACAAAAAAACTACTGGGCCGAGGTGG